GCCCTTACGTAAGGGGGACCCTTTGCTATTTTGCTTTTTTAAGTAGGAATGCGCAAAAGAAAGCCCAAGATTATGTAGCTTCGCTCGCCAGACGAGAAAGCTGAGAGAGGAAACTCGTCTTAACCGCAACTCTCCAGCGCAGCAACAGATAACTTCTGCTTTCTTGCTTGCATCCCCCTGATTGGAAGAAGGTTGCATATACTTTTTCTTTTTTTATTTTTTGGAAAGCGAGGCGGAGTGGGGGGGGGGGAGAGACACAAGAGGAAAAATGTTCATTACATCATGAGAAAGTGCCTGCAAGATTCCTCTTCTACACACACACACACACACACACACACACACACACACACACACACACACACGTTTCAACTTCCTGATGTTGCTGCTATATCCAATCCAAGAAAGATCAGGCAGAATTTCTCACAGCGAGAGCGGGAAGGGGGTGGCTGGGTGGGTTGAGGATTTCTCGCATTAAGCACGTCGCTGGGGTCGGTTTGGGAGGCAATGCCTTGCGAGAAGCGCGGCTGGCCAAGATACACGATGCTTGCAAACAATTGCAGAGGCAAGCAAGACGCAGCAAGCCTCTGGCAAACGTGCGCGCCGCGGTGTGGTAGGTAAACCTCAGGAAGAGTATGCGCCCCCGCGCAGCCCGGCCGAGGTACAACAACCCATGCGGCGCTGTGTGCCGACAGACACAGATCTAACCACGGGCCCTTCCCAAATATGTGGCCGGTTTTGTTTCGTTTAGAATGCCAAAGACCTTTTCACATATAAGGGGGTGGGTTTTTTAAGGGACTCAGAAGACGCTTGCCAGAATCCACACGGGGGAGGGGGGTGGTTAGGGAGAGCCAGTGTGCGTAATTGCAACATTTTCCGCCGCTCGACTGGTTATTAATGTCATCTGCACAGACGGCAGTCCTTTGCCCCCTTACCTAGGAGCAAGTCGCACTGAACACGAGGCGGCGGGGGGGGGGGAGCTTACTTCCGAGTAAACGTGCCTAGGAGCGCGCAGCACATGTGCCCTTAAGGGCGCCTCTTCCTCATACGCGCCTCCTCGGAGGAGAAGACGAGCGGAGCAGCAACCAACTCCGAAGCCAATGCAGGCTGGAGGGAGGAGGCGAGATCGCCTGCAGCAGCCCCCTAACAGTCGCATCATGTGGGGCTCTCAGCGCCCCCACTCCACCTCTCCTTCCGAGTCCCTCAGGAGTGATACCCCCACTCTTCTTCCTAAGTTGTATTCTAAAAGAGACCCACTGATTGCAACCAATATTTAATAAAAAGGGACTGGGGGGGGGGGGTTTGACAGACAGAAAGATCTCGCCGCCACCTCCCGAGTTGCAACTACGAGGTGTGTTTTTTTCTAAAAACTTCGGTAAAGCTGTCAGAACAGACCTAAAACTTACGTGCCGTTTATATTCGAGCTCTTGATTATTCCCCCCCCCATCAAAATCGTGAGTGAAAAATGAAAGAGGGGTGCGCTTTAGCCAACACCATGTGAAAACGGAACGTGAGACCTAAAAGGAGCTGCATTTTTTAATGAGAGCCTTGGAAAGATTTAACAATGGAAAACATTGACCGAGCGGAGAAAGCGCGGAGAGGAGGGGGTGGAGCGGAGTGGGCAACGAACTCCTTTAAAGTTGCCGATCAGGTATCTCGCTCAAGGTGAGATTCCACCTACACATGTGGGAAGTGGTTTGTTTAATTTATGGCATTCTTACAAACAAAAGAAGGCTGGTTCCCGGCGCTGGGGATCGAGGGGAAAGTGCGCACATTTGAAGGGGCAGAAATGCCGGAGCGCATATGCGAAGCTGGTATATCGGATGGTCCCTTTTCCAGTTGAAAGGGCAATCGGCCCTCCTACCCTGGAAGACAGCAAGGTAATCGCTGATTTGAGTAATCCCAAATCCATGCAGGGAATGGCAAAGGGCGAATGTCCAAATGGGAATCTGTGTTTCATAACTCATACATAACCACCTACCATCCCCACGCGCGCGCACCCCAAACTGCGGTTGCCCTACACTTTCCCTTTTACGGGATCTCTTAAACCAGACACGTGCACTACGAAAGTCCCCTTCCTGGCTTCAATGTCTGCAAGGCTGGCAACGCTTTCCCAATTATTATTCGCCATTAAATAAAGAGCATGTCGGCTCTCTCCGTTTTTCCTTTTGATCGTTGACCAAGCGGGAAAGTGCAACTGTGAACGTGAGAAAAAAGCTTCCATCAAAAGTTTCCTGTTCCCCCCGTTGCAACTCCAGCGTTCACGTTTTTCTTCGGCTCTCGCACTTTTGCCTCAACCCCTTTTGTCTTGTCAGAGAGAAATCAAACAAGTTCCTAGTTCAGATCTGCCTGATCCGCCTGGTAACAGATCTATTCCCCCATTGGCTAATGCTAATTCCAGTTTCCTCTTGTATTGGAGCCCAGTTGGGGAAAGGGGGGGGGGAGTTCCCTCCAGGAATTAGAGCCAATTTTGTTTTAAGTGGGCGATCTCGCTCCTGCAATATTGCCACACGCAGCAGAAGCCGGTCTTTCTGTGCAGCCGTCTCAGCTGGAGGGTGGTGGTACAAGGGGGGCTCCGGAAAAGCTGTAGCTGATACTGCTCCGTCTCATAAATCAAGGGCTCCTGCCACACCGACGCAGATTTTTATGAATGAAAAAAACAACAACATTGCTCTGGTCGTGGATCCCCCCCGCCACTTTCCCCCCTCTTCTTTAAAGGACTGGAAAGGGGAACCGACTTTACAAAGCAAATATTGTTCGGTATAAAGGGAGTGCGCGCAGCTGGCCACTGACCCGAGTTATATTTACTAAACGCAAATTAAGAAATAAAAATGTGAGTCGCAGATAAGCGGACGAAGAGCTTTTAAAACGAGGACGGAGACACTCTTGACCATCTAACGTTAGTGTGCTTTAGAAATAGGGAAAGCGAAGAGACCGGGGGGGGGGGATTCCAAAAGACTTGGGAAGGTTATGCAAAAACACATCCTTTAAGTTTGCATATCAAGGCGTGCCTGGAATTTGCGGGGAGTTTACTTAACGTTTCACAATGCCAGGCTGCGCTTCAATTAGAAGGCACCCTGGAGACAGAGAAGCTGCACAGGAAAAATATATATATATATATATATATATATATATATATATATATACACATTCATATCCGTATATACACTCACGTATGTCAAACAGCGATGTACTCGAACTTTGGGCATGCGCAGAAAGCTGGGGTTGCAAATTCTGCGCATTTACGCGGGAGGAAGCTCCAATGACTGGTACAGACCTTACTTCCGAGTAAACAGGACTGGGCTGTGAGACCTCCTCCCTAGGGTTTCTCCATTATATCCTCGAGTCTTATAGAACCGTGCCCGACGGCTCTATCTTTCTTACTTTGGATGAGCCCCATTGAAGTCATTGGGACTTAATTCTAAGTAAGATTACCTAAAATGCGGTGATAATGCCTTATGCAAAGCAAACAGCAGCACGTCCCCATACCTAAACGTATACCACATTTGGATGTTGAAGTGAAAGCCAGGGAGCCAGTTTATAAAGGCGGTTTTGATAAGCGTCGAATTCTGCAGTACTGCTCAATAATTGTGGCTGCGTACTGCAATCCTATGTGTCTGCTCAGAAGGAACCTCCAACTGAGTTCAATGAAACAACATCTCCCCAAAAGTGGTTGATAAGGTCCTACTTTTCCCTCTCCAGTCTGGAAGGGTTTTTAGTTTTCCCTAGATGATAATGATACGTTATATTAAGTTTGGGTGGCGTGAAATATTTCAAATGGATTGGAATCCCACGCCTACTTACCACGTGTTTTATGATGAAGGCGCAAGCGATTAGATGCATTTAAATTAACAGTTCAAAGTATCTTTCCCTCGACTACAGCAATGAAATCTAAATTCACTCTGAAAGGGGGGGGGGCCGGATAGAAAAGTGCACTTCCCGTCCCTTCTTTGGGTTCCGGCTAAGCACGTTGGAGGAAATAATGGCCACCATTTTGCTTATGCCATGCTTATGGCATTTCTACGGCAGGCTACCAAAAGATCTGCCACATCTTCCGGGCGAAGGGCTTGCCCCGCTCCAAAATACATTAAATTGGAAACCCCATTGGCTGCAAGTTTACTTCCAAGCAAATGCATGCAGATGCAAGGCTGCATTTTATTTTTTTTTGACAGAATAGCACCCTGGAGCCAAAATCCAAGTCAAGGAAAGTTTGAGACTGCAATTCTATATGCAGCAGTACTTACCTGGGACTAAACTCCATTGACAATAATGAGACTTACGTCTAAGTAGACGTAATCTACGGAAGTCGCGGAGCCTTTGTTGCGCGTAATGAGTTTAGACTCAGGCTGCTTGGACTTCAAAATTAAACGCCACAAATAATTTGGATCGTCTTTTTATTATTATATCTTCTCTAGTCAGTGGCAAGAACTTCGGCCCTCTGTGCAATCCTAAGTACGTACATATTCATACAAAGAAGCCCAATGTGCTTACTCTCTAGAAAGTGTATTTAGAATAGCTGCCCCGGGTTCTTTTCCTAACTTATCCAGAAAATGAGCTTGCCTTCTAAAATAATAACTTTAAAAATAACATAAAAATAAATACGGCTAAGAATGCTGGTTTCCTAGATGGATGGCCCACGACGCAGATGATCTCTTCCAAACCACCGTAGTGGCGGTGGGGTCCCTTACTTGGAAAAGGAGCCCGAAGCCCCTACTGCCTGTCCGTGTCTGTGTGTGGCCTAGTCTCATTCATCATTCGGCTGCCGGAGCCCTCTCCATTTTTAAAAAATTCTGCCTGATCCAGTGGAAAGACAATTTGGGCTTCCCCCACCACCTCTCTCTGTCTCTGTCTCTCCCTCCTTCCTTCCCCCGAAAAGGGGGAAAAAAGAAAAAGAAAGAAAGCGAGTCCTTGTCCTCATTTGCATTTGCATTAAAAGCCCTGCTTCTGTCTCCGCTAAGCAAAGGGGGAAGGACTTGCAGCCTATGGGATGGCTTTAGGGCTCTGCCCCCTGCTTTTGGCTTCTCTCCCTCTCCCTTCTCTTTCGCATTCTCCCCGCGCTTTGATCTCTGCTTAACAACAGTCACGTCACGGGGGGACTCATACAGGAGAGTTTTGTTGGAAGTTAGAAAGTTTTGCAGCCTCCAGAGGGCTGTAGCAGCAGTAGCAGCAGCAGCAGCAAGCAGCATCTGAGGGACTCCTGGAAGGGGAAGAGCCAGAGAATCTGACTCAGTCCTTTGGAGCAAAGCTGCGCCTGCAGGAGAAGGAGCAAGGAGGAGGCGGAGGCGGCAGACATGGAACATCAGCTGCTCTGCTGTGAAGTGGAGACCATCAGGAGAGCCTACCAAGACACCAACCTGCTCAATGACAGGGTCTTGCAGACGATGCTGAAAGCAGAGGAGACCTGCTCGCCCTCGGTCTCCTACTTCAAGTGCGTGCAGAAGGAGATCTTACCATATATGAGGAAAATAGTGGCCACTTGGATGTTGGAGGTTGGTAAACGCGCTTTGCAAAAGCTTGCGCTTTCTCGCAATAAAACCATTCCGGAGTCCCAGTGTCTCTCTTCCTCTCTTTTCTGTCTTTCTTTACCCCCCTCCAATTTCCTGCACCCTAAAACATACTGTGAAGCATTGATTTCTACCCCCCGCCACCCCCACCCTCCACGCCTTTCCCCTCTTTCCTATAGACTTGGGCTAGTTAAGCTAGAATGCAGCCTTTACGCTGTCACCAATAACAGGGGGCTTGTCGAGTTAGTATATAGAGTCAATTCGTGCAAAAAAAGAGAGGGGGGAAACGAATTTTGGAAGTTTCAGAAAGACGCCCCCCTTCCTCGTGCCTCTGCGGGATCCTAAAGGTGGGATCGGCAGATCCCTGGAGCATGCCCCCCTCCGGATTCTTCGGCAGCCCTTCAACCTTGCCATGAATCGGACTAGGATTTTATTTTAAATTAATATCCATGGACACGTATGCAAGTGCTCCCCGTGCCAGTATTATGCGCCATCTTTGTTCTTTTATTGCAAAGGCCAAGTGTTTATTAATAATTAGAAAGGCAGGAGCCCGCGGGAGGGGGAGAGAGGAAAGTGGGGTTCCCGGGGGGACCCCGAGCAGAGGGGATCGGGCTCCTGGCTTGCAGATCTTGGGGAGTTGCTGCTGGAAACTTTTCTTTGTTCAGAGAGCAGAAGCGAGCCTCTGGGCTTCCCCCTTGGAAGACATGCTTCTGCTGCACGAACTTGTCGGCAAGGTCGCCCGGCAAAAACCGGTGTGGATTTTGCCTTCCGTCGGCGACACGTGTTTGTGGGGGTTCCCATCAGGACCAGGGGCGTCTGGGCTACATTTTCAGCCCTTTTGCGAAGACCTGCGGGCTTGCGGTCTATTTTTAATTAATTTTTGAAAGCCGGGGCGCTGGCAAATGTCGCACGTTGCTTCCTGAGGGAGAGAGAGAAGAGGACTGGGGAGCCCTGGAGTTTGACTTCGGGGTGTCCCCCTGGAGAGTCCCCCGGGTCTCATCCCAAGGGGGATCGGTAAAGGACCCCCGCGGCGGTGTTTTCAGACTCTTTTGGGGGCTCTGCAGATTTTTTAAATATTTTTAAATATTTTTTGAAAAGATGACGTCTGGGGAAAAAGGCTTGCAGCTGCCTCACTGGACGCCACCTTTGTGTCTCGACGAAAGCGGGGGTCGGCAGCTCCCAAGTCAGGGGGAGCCAATAGGGGGCATCTAGGCCGTGGCCCCCAACGGGTTGAAACCCCCTTCCCCAATTTTTTTTTGCGGGGGCGTTTGCCGTTCAATAGGGCCCCCCCAAAAAGCTCCAATATTCTTTTCTTTTTTCTTCCCCGAACGCCGACCACGTTTTTGAAAGCCACATTTTGCTCAACTTGCGACTTTCTCTTTCATTTCTTCTCTTGCACTGTTTCGTCGGTTTATTTGTTTTTATTCGAGGAAATTCACTTAATTTGTTTTGTTTTTTCCCCTTCACCACCTCATAGCCACTGAAAGCAAGTTGGTTGCCAGAAGGCATGGGGAACTCCTTGAGGTTTTTTAATTTTACTTTTTAAAGTGCTAGTTTCAACAGGCTTTCTTTCCCCTGCAGGTTTGTGAGGAGCAGAAATGTGAAGAGGAGGTTTTCCCCTTGGCTATGAACTATTTGGACCGATATCTCTCCTTCGAACCCCTCAAGAAAACCCGCCTGCAACTGCTGGGAGCTACCTGCATGTTTGTGGCTTCGAAAATGAAGGAAACCATTCCTCTAACTGCAGAAAAACTGTGTATTTACACTGATAACTCCATTAGACCCAACGAATTACTGGTAATTTCCTATTTAATTTCATCAGGGAAACAAAGCTATAAACCTCACCAAGGAAAAGAAATAGATTTATATCCCCATCATAACCCACACCTCACATTTGAGGTTTGAGAACTGTGTCTGGCTTTCCCCGGCTTGCGCTCTTCCCGCGTTATCCAGACAAACTTCTAGACTGGCTGAATGGAAATAACAGATATGGCCAATATGGTTCTTGAGATTTCTGAATGACAAAGCCAGGGGTGCATAATATCCCTTCCACATTCCTTGTGGGGCGTGAGCCCTATTGAACTCCGTAGGATTTATTTCCAAGTAAACATGTGTCAAGGAGACAGACTTGCTGAGCTGCAATCCTAAGCACACTTTTCTTTTTTTTTTTGTGGCGGGGAGTAAACAAATATTTTTAGCAACGGTGTATAAAGACAACCTCTGGACGGCTGCAGCCCATATTGTGCAGTAGAATAACTGAATGAAAATTCCCTAATATGTTAAACCCTTATTATTAACTCACAACGAGGAGAAATATAGTAACAAGATGGGGGAGAGGCGGAAAAATGGGTGGCTGGCGCCCTCTTGCGGTAGAAACTCATCCGGCCAGCCGCATGCCTGGTTAATGGAGCGCTGGTTCAGAGCAGCTGGGTGGTGGTGGGGCTGGAGTGGGGGGGGGAGGGAGGGAACAGAATTATGTAATTTTCCTGTGGAAAGGCACCTTTCCCGCCTGCTTCTGTTCTCCTCCGGTGGCATTATGGCTGCTGCCATGTTTGGCAAGAGCCCATTTTTTGCTGGCAAGGCTCGCCCTCCTGCACAAAGCAAGGCACCTAAAGTGAAGCAGACTTCAGGATACAGTGTTAGGATAGCTACTCTGCCAACAAACGCTGCATTTCCAGGTGCTTATAAAGGGAACTTTGTAATCACATTTTTCTCTCTTTCTCTCCTTTCTTCCTCCACCCCCTCCCCCCTTGTAGCAAATGGAACTGCTTCTGGTGAATAAGCTGAAATGGAATCTGGCTGCCATGACCCCTCATGACTTTATTGAACATTTTCTAAGTAAAATGCCTGTGGCTGAGGACAGCAAGCAGATCATCCGTAAACACGCCCAGACTTTTGTGGCTCTATGTGCTACAGGTATGAGCCTTGCACTCTCCAGAAGGCGTGTTGTGTGTCTGTGTACCCCAGCAAGCACACCCTCCTCCCTTTACCCGCTGCCCAGAATCCCATAGGCACACCCTTTAAAACTGGGCACTAAATTTTCAGCTTAGCTCATGCACTAAGCAGGTGTCTCCTTTTCCAGAACCCGGATTACTTTTGCCAAAGGTGAGTCTGCCAGAAAGAGGCATTTCCTCTCTGTTTCGAGGCTGAAAATCGCTTTGCGGAGTGTGGTTCAGCCTGGGGGAAAGTGGCTAGATTAGTTGTCCGTTGCAGAGCGTCGTGCTCTCAGAGGTCTGCCCAAGAGCTTCAGGGCTGGATGGCCTTGGAAACCTGTTTTTTCCCTCTCTTGTTGTTGCTGTTCTTGCCATTTTAAAGTCATTGGGGTGCAGGGTTTGTGTCTGCTTCCTCTGGAACATTTAGAATTGAACCTCTTCCCGCCCCTTCCCAATCCTTAAGTGCTGCTGGCAGAGGGCAGGAGCAAAGACGTAGAAGTGGGCCCAACGTAGAAGTTCTCTGGCCAAGAGCTGAGTCTCTGCTGTCCACACCCTGCTGACCACGTGCTGTGCTGAAGCCATGTGCGCGCGAAACCGCGGGAGGAGCCAGAGACTATGACAAAGCTCCAGGATTTCATAGAGAGGGGACTGGTTTTTTGTTTCAAGGGCAATCTTTGTGTGTGTGCGTGCGCATGCCAGCACTTTTAAGCACTCTTCCCCCGCCCTGCCACTTCCCTTGTTGCCGTTTCATTTCCTTGATTCCTTATTCCAATCACCCTATTCCTATTCCTTACTCCTTTCACCCCCTAAATGACAAGCAGGAGTCTGAGACTGGAAATGTGTTCTTGCATTCCTGATGTTCAGGTAGCACAGCTGGTGCTTTTTTGCAGCAGGCCAAGTGGGGAAGGGGGGGTGTGAATATTAAAAAAGGGAGAGGGAAATGAGTTTTCCTCCAGTGTGGCAAGAATGATTTGGAAATGGCTAAAGGACAACGAAGCAAAGGTCACCAATGCTCACGTTCCTTTGAACGGAAGCCTGCAGTGTTGACTCTTGAGGATCAAACCGGTGTTTTTTGCATACATTCCGGGAGTGTTTATATTGGTGAAATGCGATTTGTCATTATCCCAGGTAGGCACGGGACAATTGAGCTTGAATAGACTTCTCTGAGCTTGGAAAGTTGAATTGCACTTAAAATCCAAGTTGATGCTTGAGGTTAAAGCCCAGCAGTTTGTGATGTCACACCTGAGATGTATTTGGTGGAAAGATCCAAGAAAAACAACAAGCAGATTCCCCCCCCCCCCACCTCCCCTTGTTGGTTTTAAACAGGCCCTCCTACTGCAGGGGTTGGTTTAGAGAGGTAGCCGCAGACTCTCCAAAGAGAAATATGTAAATATTGTAAATATTTTTCAATCTCGCCTTTCATCCTGAGCCTAACTGTAGCACTGTATGCAGCTCAGGGTTTTCTAGAAAATGCATTCCTCACCATGCTCTTTAAAAACATTAGGGCATTTATTTGTTTTTTTAAAAATAGTTTTTAGTCTTAAGCACAGTTACCTGGGAGTAAGCACCACTGAATCCACTGAGACTTGCCGCTGAGTAGACATGAACAGGAGTGCTCTGTAAAAAGAATCAAGTTTTGGGATATAAAATAGATTTGTTTAGAGCAAGCTGGCAAGTCCCAATGGTGAGACAAGCCTTGTAACCACAGAGTGGGTTTTCGAGCCTGTTTGTTTGTTTGCTTCTTACCCCCAAACAGCGTCCTCTTTTGGATATGGGGATGTTTAACCTGGGTTATTGCGCTGGCAGCAGCAGTTCCGCAGTGATGAAAACAAGAATAGTTCAAAGGTCGGAGGCTTGCAAAGAGCCAAGGTCTTTGATCTGCTGTCAGTGTTGTTACGTTTCTGGTTTAGAAGGCACGTCTAGAGGCCTATCTTAAACATTGTTCTAAATGCCATACGTAGAACCGGAAAATGAATTGGTGAATGCAAACCTTGTCCAGAAAAATGTTCTATGCAGGCTTTTAAAAGAAGTGTATGGAGGTCAACAAGGGAACCCCCAATCCTAATGAAGTCAGTGGGAATTTTGCCTAAGTAAACAGTGTTTAATAGGGTTTTATGTTGGCGAATTTATCCTTAACAGCCACATTTTAGAAAGAAAGAAAGAAAATTAATTGAGGGCTGCTGAGACAGAGATCAGGAAATGGATGCATGGCCTTTCTACAGATAGGATTGGTTTTTACTGTTTCCTCATTCTGCTATTCTAATTTGCCAAGCTCCCATCTGGATGAGTTACAAACCCTGTTTTATTAACTACTGCTGAGGCTTCATCCAAAATCCCATTGAATTAAAGGTCCATTTGGCCATTAGAGCACGGCTTCCACTTCATGCAGAATAAAAGGGGAAGGTTCCTAGAGGACTTTGCAATAGAACTACTTACTTTTAAACAGTGGGCGAAAAAGTTTAAATGAGGTGAAGGCAGGGTAAAACAAATGTTTGAGGATTTCTAGAAGTGTGGTTTTGTTCTAGATATAAAGAAGATTACAAGCAAAGGTGATGCTAAAAGGAATTCCCTTTTATGTTCCTCCTTCAGCTCTCTGTCTAACCAGACTGGATTTGCCTTGTAATTTCTCTCTCTTTCACATGTGTGTGTGTTGTTTTGTTTTGTTTTGAATATGTTTTCTCCAAAGACTCCTTTTGTGTGGTGGGAGGCTTGGGACGGAAGAAGAAGAAGGGGGGAAAATTACCACGAGTTGTTTAGCCTAATGAATAGGGCCCTGGCATGGCCAAGGAAGGCACAGATCACACAAATGAAGTGAGCTTCATTGATCCAAGCTGAGACCACTGCTTAGGGAAAAGGCCCTGCTCTAAACAAGCAGAACGATTAATTGGGACAAATATTGGGAGATTTGGGGTTTCATTCTGTTCCTCCGGCTGTCTAAACATAATTGGGTCTGCCACTGCTGCTCTGCCCCCCCCCCCATCACTTTTCTTCCGCGGAGGATTATTATCATTATTTAATGTGATTTTGCTGGAGAAAAGCCCTCCCTTTGAAATGCGTTTGCCACAATTCGCCTATTCTGCGAGCCTTTCTAAAATTGGAAGTCTCAAGGTATGCGACCAGTTGAAACCTGTTGCATCTCGCAGCCAGTGATTTATGTTCGGAGTTTTGATTTGCCTCAATGAAAAGATTTTCATTCATAGCCCCCAGCTCTCCAGACGGATGGAATTGCTGCTCCATTTAAAAAGGAAAAGGGGGTGACTTGCCTTGTTAGGAATTTTTTTTTTTTTTTAAAGCGCTACAGCGCCTAGATGCCTGCTTTGTCCTCCCTTCAGGGTGGCTGGCATTCTTCTCTCTCCTCTTTCCTCCCCCCCTCCTCTCCTTTTAACAACACTGAAGTTGTTTATTCTTTTTGGATGAAGTCTCAGATAGGCTACTGGGGATGTGTGCTTCAATTGAGGGGCCCCCTTCCCCATTGTAGCTGTGTCAGGTCTAATTCATCTCACCGAAGCCCCCTTGTTCCTGAGCGCTCAATAGCGCAAGATGAGGCAATGGAGGCTGACAATGATGCCACACTCTTCCCTTGGGAGCATCCAATTACAGCCGAGAGGGGCCCCCTGATTAATATGCTGAAATTAGTGGTCTCTGCCACAAATAATTCCTTGTTGTGTCGCAACAAAAAGTCTGTCCATGCCGCTTGTCTAGAGTGGTTATAGGGACAGGCACAAACCGGTCATTTAAACTTCATTATTGCTTTTCCACCTTGGGAAGAAAGAGGGTGTGACTAGGAATTCCTCTTCCTTTTTCTCTCGCCACTTTAAAAGGAAGTACTTTGTGCATTCCCAAACTTGCTACTCTTTGAATGATCTCATGATCACTTTGCCCATTTTAGAGTTGGGGTTTTGGTTTGCTTTTGTTTTAAAGGTGGGGCCTTCATTCCAAATTGGAAAAAAGCAAAGTTTCCAAAATTGGAAAAAGAATCGAATCTGGGTGATGTAGAAGTCAGAATGCCAGATAAGGGTGGTCATTTCTGTGCTTCTTCAAAACCCTTTACAAGCTGTGCAGCAGTTAATTGGTTTGATGTGTATTCATCCAGTGGGGCTGAAGTTGAAAATTTATTGATGCCTAGGCACAGGCCTTTGTAAAATGAAAAGTAGGAAGGTAATCTCAGGCAACATGGCATAGTGTTTAAATAGCAATACATATAGTCCATGTCTTAGGGGATCATTTAAGAGTTGAGGCTTTGAGCATTTAAATGTGTGTTGCTCTGCACCGCAGTGTGCAAATACTCCTGAATTGTGAGTTCCCTCAACAACAAACCTGAGACTGTGTCTCATAATCTACCAACTGAGCCATCTCTCATCTCCCAATATTTTAAATAGGGCATATTGCCCTATTGTCAACATTTTAAATTGTAATAAGGTGCCAATATTGGGTAGGGATACTCACAGTAGCCCTATTGAACTTAAGGGACATGATAAACTAAGGTATTTTCAATGGATCTACTCTTAGTAAGACTTAATTGAATGCAAGCCATTACATTTAACAAGGAATGCGAAAGAAATGATTTTTGCATAGTCCTGGAGGTGATTTTGCTGATAAAATATTCTCACACTGATTTTCCTGAAGAGCAGCTGCAAATCACAATTTAAAATATTTACGATTTTAAGAAAGTGTTCAGCACAGTGGACTATTGGAAGGGAAATTGCAATTCTATAGATTGTTTGGGGTTTGTAGGTGAGCAGATGGATTGCCTCCAAGCTGCTGGGAGCGTTTCCTAAGTTGATGTACATAGGTTGGCATTTTCTGCTTTCATCCTTACAATCAGATATTGAAACATGTTCCCCCTCTCTTAATTCCTGGTCATGGTCAAACGAAGGCATGAATCAAACATGCCTGCTTAGAAGGAGCCTTAGCCTCAAAATGTAAATGATTGCTTTTTTGTTGCTGTAACATTCTCTAGGGCAGCTATAGGCCAAGCAATCATGGGAGTGGCTTTGCCGCAAGACCTACAGCAATGCAGTTTGGAAGTGGGCCCGGGCTCTTGTCAGCGTGGTGTCATATCAGAATGTAGCTTATTGTCTGCCGGTTCTTAGGACCCCCTTACACTAAGTCCCCATTGCCCGGATGGAAGGCAGTCGCAGATAAGGGAAGGTTGAAGCAAAACATTTGCCGGAGGAAGTGCCCATTTACATCCGATTTCTCTATTTCACTGTAGTGGTGAAGTTCTTGTATATGTGGGGTTCAAGTTTCCACCTTTATTAGAAAGAGTACAATTTTTGGTCGGCGTATGTGGTCAGAAGTATGTTTAATGGAGGATTGGAACCTTGAACTGCAGTCCCACTCACTTCAGAGTTAATCTCATTGGACTCAGCAGTGCTTTTAAAAAGTACTATACATTTGGGCTGTTGGATGCTGTTCTGCGTAGATTGATTATATGAAACCACTTGGACAGAAAATTAGAAAACCCTCTAAATGTGCTCTCTCTGAACAGTGTTGAAACCAGGATTCTATTCTAGTTTTAAAAATTATTTGGGGGGGGGATTCTATACTGGCTTTGCTTGCAAGCTCATGGTCTGATGACGAGTGCGTTCTTTTAGCTGCTGGAGACTGAACCATCCTGAAAAACAATAGAATGCAAGGTGGTGGTCCAGTTTCAAAGGAGTTGCTACAGCCTTTGGTGCAATAAAGTACCACAAAGCTCTAAATCTATGCAGCTACATGGGATTTGAAGAGGAGCTCTGATGGATTAGGCCAAAGGCCAATTTAGTCCATCAGCATGTTCTCACAGTGGCTGACCATATGTCTATGGGAGGCTTGCAAGCAGAACATGGATGCTACTACGAACACATCTCGTTGAAGGAAATGATTGTGTGGGTGAATTTATATGCAGGTTGATTTTCATGGGACTGTTCACAGAGATGGGCCAAAAAATGTTCCAAGAGATGCTGTAAGAAAAGCAGTAAGCCTAGATGCATATGTTCACATGGACACGCTTTGCCCATTGGAAACCTTTGTGCACTGGGTCAGCCGCCTTATTTGCACCCGTGAGCGTAGGGTGGTATGTATATGCAAGCTCACTTCTATTTCTTTGTTTTCCCCCCAACAGATGTTAAATTTATTTCAAATCCACCTTCCATGATTGCAGCTGGTAGTGTGGTAGCTGCTGTGCAAGGCCTTCACCTTGGAAACACCAACGCTTTCCTCTCTTACCAATGCCTCACACATTTCCTCTCGAAAGTCATCAAATGTGACCCGGTAAGTGATGCTTGATCCGTACTCCTGGTGCCTCCTGGTTGGGGGGGCATCTAGTCTGTTTGTGGGCCTCAAATCAAAGCAAGGCTCAAAAGTTGCTTCACATCTGTCACCTTCTTCATCTTCACTGATTTATTGTCTACATTAGTACCCAAAAGTCTCCTTTATGTATTGTGTGGGCTGAATGCTACCACTAGTTCCAAGCCTTTCAATGAAGAAATACCAAGAAAGCAAAAGAGAAACTCTTAATTTAAGAGGACAAGTTCAGAGGCTGTATTGATCTATAGATAATTAAATCGTGTGGACAAGTGCGCTTAAAAGTAAGTCAAGGAACTAGTGATTGCAGTGAACAGAGCTTTCTCTTTTTTAACGACTCCTGAGATTCTTTATATTGCTAAAAGATGTGTGGGGAAAATGTTAACAGAATTTTGATGGTTTACAACAAGGTAGACCTGCACAGTAGATCATACTGAATTCCAAGCCCTCCCCATCCCAGCTGTTTTTTGTTTTTGTTTTTTAAGTGCCCCATTATTTCATGAAAAGGTAGATGGTCCTCATAGGACTCTTCTTTTTGCCCCGCAGCTTCCTGGAGATGCTCATCAGTAACTAGTGAGCAATAAACGTTTCATGAATGAATGGGCAGGAAGGGAGCCTACAAGGAAGACCTAAAGTCAATGATCCATGCCCTAATGGTGTGTGAAGTTGGGGCAGAGTTTAGCTTTGTGCTGGAACAATGTGAAAGCCCAATAAAAAGATGCTTGGAAAAAGGTTCTTGTGAGGTCTCCAAGCACCAACAATGAGTCAAATAAAGTCAGCCCTGAGGCTTGCAACCAAATCTTGGAGGCATGGCTAAAACATTCCTTGTTTCATACGTCCATAAATATATAGAAAATATAAGAGTGCAGAATCGAGAGCTGCCGCAATTACAATGAGGTTCCTTAGCATCCTGAGACTTCATAATGAATGGAATGTTGTGGTACTTTGATTGCAAATGCTTGCTTCACTGCTGCATTATACATGGGTTCATGATGTTATTTTTTATTTGGCTTTCAAGCTGCCAAAGTTTTGGCTGTAGGCAGTCTTTTTTCAGGATTGGATGTGCTCAGTCAGTGCAAGCAACATAGATGCCTGCGCTGATCCATCATCTGCCTGCATAGCAAAAGAGAGAGAATAGCGAAGACACTTTGAGAAAAGCATCCTGCAGAAGCAATATTGGCACTAGGTTCTTTTAAATCACATCCTGCCTACTTTTGATTTGATGCCAGATTAGGAGCTAAAGAAAGCACCACAGAGCTGTGTCTTGTTTTGTAGAAAGAACGCTTCATTGAAGGCAGTGCTAACTTACATTTAGTGTCAGGGTTGCAGGATGCAGTTTACCTGAGCCTGATCTACTCTCCTCATTTTTCATGAAGCCTTTGCAGAGCTCGCAAATGATCCCCCCGTTGTCTTGAATGAAGGATGTGTTTTGTGGTAGTGCTAGGTGGATTGAGTCACCTTGTCATGCTCAAAACTGGTTGATTTCAGTGGCACAACTTCAGCTTGAAGACTGTACCTGAAGCGCTTCAGTGGCACCAGGTCTAAATTCACTCCTTATGTCTTGGCTTCATTTCAAATGTTGAAACAAAGTGGTGTCAGCCTTATACAGATGTTGAACTTACAAATAAGTAGAACATGTGAACAAGGAGAGCAGGGATGTGCACACTTGCTCTACCCTTTCCCAGTTGCTCTCTACGAGTTTTGAGGGTGGCTGTCAAGACATGAAAATCAGCATTGTAGAACTTTGATTTTCCAGGATATACATTGCTTAGGGGGTGTGCCTAGGAAGAGCAGGGTCTCTACTGCAGCCTGTTGACCTCAAACTCTTGAAGCCCAATGGGAGTTAGAGTTAGTGCCCTTGCCTCTGCTGTCTTTCAACTTGTGTGGTAAACTTAAGTTGGCTTTAATACCTGAATTGCAATCTTGTCTACCTATGGACCATGTAGGTTCTCCACTGTACTTTGCCTCTGTCCAGTGCAATACATTTGACTTAGGGGTTCCGCAGCAGTTAAATGACCTGCTATCCTGCGCTGATCGTGATTTTAAAGGAAATTATATTTAAGCATATTTTCATGCATAAGATGGAACTGGAGTCTATTGCATTGTGGTCTTCTGAATCATGTGAAACAATACATTCTTATGTGGTTTGGTCAATATCTGAGCTTTTCTCAGAAAGAGGGATTTTTATAATTGAAAACAATGGTTTGGATCCAAAGGTCCTCTTCTGAAGGAGTGTTTTACACATCACACTGGAGTGTTACACAGGAAACAGGGGAGCGGGTGGTGCTGTGGTCTAAACCACTGAGCCTCTTGGGCTTGCCAATTGGAAGGTTGGTGGTTCAAATCCGGACGACAGGGTGAGCTCCCATTTCTCTGTCCCAGCTTCTGCCAACCTAGCAATTTGAAAGCACACCAGTGCAAGTAGATAAATAGGTACCACTGCATTGGGAAGGTAAACGGCATTTCTGTGCACTCTCTGGCTTCTGTCACGGTGTTGTGTTGTGCCAGAAGCGGTTTAGTCATGCTGGCCACATGACCCGGAAAGCTGTCTGTGAACAAATGCCAGCCCAGCTCCCTTGACCTGAAGCGAGATGGGCACTGTACCCCATAGTCACCTTTGACTGGATTTAACCATCCAGGGGTCCTTTACCTTTTTACCTTACACAGGAAATATAAAACCTAAGATGTTTGGTTACTTGCCGAATCTCTATGGAGCCTAGTACCTACAGCACGGTGCAGTTCTTTCTGTTAGCACTTGTCTAAGCCCTTGGGAATAGCATTCACAGCTGCTTTCCAAAGATTTTCTGTTCTTTGGATTCAACCCACCAGTGTCTTTCAAAAGAGCTATGATCCAGAGAACTCTGATCAGTATGCACTGGGACTCAATTTTCCTGACCACAGAAAGGAGGTGAACCTCAAAAGGTGCTAGAGAAAATGGTTTGTGGTTTGTTTATTTACAGAAGCACTCAGTTTCTTGCCTCATGCATTTTGAGTTACTATGTTCATCATTAGACACAGCTACAGACAAGAGTGTGATTCAAGCAATTCTGTTATAAAATTTGGCACATGAGCGTTATGTAGAAACACATTCTTAAAAATCTCTGAGGTTCCATGGATATTCTTTTGTAAAAAGAAATGGCTTGATGTGTCTGTACATAATTGCAGTTTGCTAAATTTTATGTTGTCATACTTTTGAATTGTTTTTAGGTGTCTCCAAGAAGGAGTATGGTGTACTAAAAATGCAGTGGTCAAAAGAAAAATGGGGTTATTCTGTAAATAAAACATTTTTATCAGCTTTTGAAGCTTACCACCCTTTGGCAGTAGGGGCTGAATGTCAGTGATGCCTCCCCTTTCCAAGCTCAGTTTTTATCTAATAGCAGCTTCTGAACTGTAGGAACATGGCAGCCTGCCTTTAACAAAGTTAAACCACTGCTGCATTGTCTGCACAGGGGACCAGCTAACTTGTGGCCTTCCACAGCTACCACCATTCCTGGCTGAGGCTGATGGTCCATAATCATCAGATGGATGGGAGTTGCAGTCCAAAAATCAGGAGGGCACAAAAATCCCAAGTTTTTCTGGGTTGCTTAACATAGAACTTGCACTTTATCTTCTACAAGTGCATGGGTTTTCATAACGTGTCACACAGTCGTCAACTTTAAAGTTTAAAAACCACAGAGATCAACATTTCATTTCATTTGAACATCGTAAAATATACTTAAAATTCTTGGCTGGAATAGATGACCTAGAGGATTAAAAAAATAATAATTTACGGTTAATTTTTTACTTTTAACCACGAGAAAGTAAAAGCTAAAATTAATAGCACCTGACTGAAATTCCTTTATGGTTCATTTTGGTAGGAGTCCAATTTCCCATTTTGCTTTTGATCAGTGGTAATTAGAAGTCAGATAGCCACCCTTAGACTCTTGGGCTGTCTTTCATCGGCTCTGTTCCTGACATTCATTTCAAGGCCAGAAAATTGCTACATTCAATTTGTTTTCAATGCTATCTGTTAAATACATTGGAATTTGTGTGGCTTCACACTGGGAGCATCTTGTCTGTAACCACAGTGGACCAGGCAATAAATATTGCAGGATTCTTAAGTTGTCTCTGTTACTTTTCTTTGATCTCCAAATCCCAAACTGACTGACATACAGCCTGATCACAGCTTAGTTATAGTAAAAAGTTATGTCTTTATGTTCGTAGAGCACACTCATTTTCTCACAACTCTCTTTTTTTTTTTTTTTTTAAATATTTTTATTGCATTTTTTCCACATAGAAATACATTTTCTCACAACTCTCAGGCCTGGTCTGAACAAGCTCTAAGTAAACTTTCCCGAATCTGATGCCCTCTAAAGGTTGTTGGACTACAATTCTCATAATCCACAGGTTCCCTGTTTTAATGTCATTATCGATTGATGGTGCCAATAATTCAATACTAGGCAGTTGTAGCCCAATGCAACCAAATATATATTAGTTTCTAAGGAACAGGATTCCAAAAATATAATCACAAAGTCAGCACTGCCAGACGTAACTTTAATTCTACCACCTTTATTTCTACAGTGCAAAGTGAGAGCTTTTGGCAGAGTTGTTGAGCTTGCCATACTTTCCAGTGATTTCCACCCAGACAGTTTCCGACTGCCGTATTCTGGCTATGCCCGGGAAATTATGGACGTATGGCAGCCCTACACTTCACGCAAGGCTTTGGAGAAGATGGGATGCTGCATGAGTTTTGCTTGCTATTTTTGAGATTCCACAGTGTCTGGCACATGGTAACTCCCTTGACATTCATGTCAAGCATTGAGAAGGGAAAGCCAGAAACAGCAAGGTTCTAGTTGGTTCCAAAGCTCAAAATTGAGTTTCAGACATCAATACCAACCCTTGAGTTCCCTGCATCTGCTGAAAGACTTGCCAGTAATCACTGGGGAGAAAAAGCAGCATGGAGCTAAAATTTGCAGGTCCCCTCCAGTGACAACGAATCTTTTGGTCACAATCCCTAAAACCATATGTGCTATGCACCCAGTTTTGTTTGTTCTTACAAATCTTGTGAGTGTCTAGTCACCCTCTAGCAAGCTTGATGAGCTTCAGCATTCCTCCAGCCCAAATCCTGGGAAGATGTTGGGGTATCAGCTCCACAATTGGACTGCACTTTGGAAACTCAGCATGACAAGAGCAGGCCCCAGCTGGCCTTTGGAGCTGGAGAAGGGAGTAGGGATTCCACTATGGAATTTGCTCCTACAAGAAGCAGGGGTGGCCATCAACTCGGATGGCTTTAGAAGACATATTTATGGAGGAGAAAGCTATCAGCAGCGACTATCCCTGATGGCTGTGTTCTACCACCACTGACTGAGGCAGTATGCTTTTAGGACGGGGGAATGTTGCTGTGCTCAGGTATCTGCTTGTTTCCCACAGGCTTCTAGTTGGCCACTTTGAAAACAGGATGCTAAGCAAGGTGGGCCACTGGCCTAATCCAGGAGATCCTTCTTATGATCATTCCAACATTGCACTTTGCTTCAAAGGCATCTTCTGGTGGGCATGTGTTTGTGTGTGTGTGGTGGTTTCCAAATCCAAGAGCAGAACTGGGGGCTACATTACACTGTGTTTTCAAGTATCTTCACAACTTGAGTCCCCGTCAGGGAAAAGGGCAAAGGATAAATAAATAACAGTAGTAGTGATGATGACTGCCGAGACCATTGTGTTCCTTACCTCCAAGCTTAGAAGAAGAGTTTGGGGATAGTCTCTGTCAACACCGTAGTTCTAAGATGCGACTGCCATATTGGAAGTGTGTGACAGAAATGAACTGCATGCTTACTGTGCATAGAGATGGGACGGGGCTGAGGATTGTCCCTGATGTCATGCTAAGTTTTGGAAACTACAGCATGAATTTAGGGGTAAGACCTGTGCCCCCTTGGAGCAGCTGGAATTTGTGGACGCCAGAGGTCTTGCTTTGTTTAGAACTCTGACCACGTCTATAGGTTTGATAATGCTTTCTCAGTTGTTAATTTTTTTTTTTGTGTGTGTGTGTGTATGTGAATATGAGTTCCTCTTAAGTGTTATAGGTAAGCCTTCCCCAACCTTGCGCCCTGCAGGTGTTTTGGACTACAGCTTCCACCAATTCCATCCAGCACAGCCCTACAGACTGGGGCTGATGCGAGTTGGTGTTCAAAACACCTGGATCTCACTAGGTTGGGAACAACTCCCGATAGGTGGAATTGGTCTGGCCACTCAGCTTAACAGAGTCCCAACAGGGGACCTTCAAGTGATGAGTGTATCACATGTGGCATTTGAATATGAGAAAAATATGATATACTTTCATTCAATATGGAGTTGTTGACTATACTGTTCAGTTATGGTTGAATCAAACTCACAACTTTCCCCAAACTTTCTGAAAGTGATAGAATTTGTTTTTAAAATCCTTGTGAAAATGCCTATATATTTCTTTTTATATTTCTTATTTGGGTTAAATAAGAATGTGTGAGATCAGAGTAGGTATGGAAACACCATATTCGTATCTATTAAGAAAAGCCAGCGCTGTGTAGGGTGCCTATGGCATAATTGCTTTAGGATATAGGGTGTTTCTTTTTGCAATTTAAAATACTGTCTCTCTGTCAAGAGGAAATATTACACTAGAGTTTAAACCAGTAAAGGTCAAAGGTTATTTGTTTTCAGTGAGCTGTAACTGATGGTCTGATCTGCTTAGAGGTAGGATTAACCTCCCTCTCTCTCAGAAGAGGCTTGCAGAGAATTGTTTGCTTGGGTTTTTAATCTTATTTTACCCCCCAAATGCCATGTGGTAGAGAAGGTTCTTGTGGCAGCGGAATCAGTGAAAAGCTGGTAGGTCACACAAGAAGCTTCTGAATGAAGGCAGAATTGAAACAGGAAAATAAAGAAAACAGCAGGCAGGTCACCATCTCAGGAAAACAACATTCATTCTCAGTCATGCACATCCTAACACTTTTGACGGCAATTTATCATGGAAGACTGGGTTCACCGCAAGGGCTAGCACATGTCATAGGTTAAATCAGAAAAGGCAATCCCAAAAGGAAACTTCAAAGTTCTTAATACACAGAGTTAAACATATTGAAAAAAGCTTCTGCGATGTTTGTTAGAAAGACAGGAGTAAACAGTGAGCCAAAGGAATTTCGGCAGACTGCTGTGGGATTGTTTGTTTTGCCTATTTAAAGCACTTGGCACTGAAGAAGGTATCCCACCAACAAACAGGGATGCATGTGCTGGTGATCAACCAGGTCTCATTCCAGTCTTAATTCCTAGTTGGCATGGCTGATCCTTTTGGGACCAATTCCAGAAAAGTAGCCATGTTAGTTTGTTGCAGAAACAACAAGGAAGAGACCTTTGGCACCCAAAGTTCATGCCGCGTTCAATTTGTTACTCTTCTTAAGATGTCAAAACTCTCCTTTTTGCTGTTCTTATTCTGTTTAAACATTTCCAAATCTCCTAAAATATCCTATCTCAATGCATTTTCCTTTCAGACAGTGTGGATGAGTACTAAGTGGTCGCCATATAAAATACAATAAAGGGGCTCTGGGTAGTATTTTCAAAATAGAAAAGTATGCCATATTGTCAGAGTATGTTAAGTTCGTTGAGCTGTGTTTACACTGCCGACATTCAACAAAATAGCTTGGTTCATCAGCTATGATGTACTCTTTAAAGCCCTTCCTGTAGTTAGACATCAATGAATGCTTACCATTTAACTACTGGCAACCCCCCCCCCCCCACAACCCTATATGTTAATAGTTTTCTATACATTCTGATCTGTTGCATACATGAAATGGCCTAGTTCATGTTGTATATATGAAATCCATAGTCTTCAGCCATTTCAGACCAGAAACCCACCTATAATCCAAACATGGATTTATTAATTTTTTACTATCTGTTTGCTTCTGCTACTTTAGATCAAGCTATACTCTGGTACTCTGTCCCGACCCATCAGTTGAAAACCAATGGTATATATTATAATAGCCATTTAATGGGAAACTAAAGATGGCTCTGGGCTTCATGCGGAATTATTTAATATGCTTAGCGTCACACTAAGATTTCACTTCAGAATACATTTGCCTGAAAAAGCCTATATCTGCAACGAGCATTTAAGGCTGGCTCACACAGCAAATATGGACAGTGATTCAAAGTTCAGGTTCTCAGATTTGTTTATTGACTGGGTTGCGCACTACGGGGGCGGGGGGGGGGGAGTGGTCCTTCAAACATTGCTGGACTATAATTCCCATCATCTCTAGCCATGAGCAATGCTGGTGAGGCTGATGGGAACTGGAGTCCCAACAGTTCCCTATGGCCTGGAGGGCTACGAATTTCCCACCCCTACTCCACAGGAAGGCTTCTTTACTCATTTAGTTGTAAGTGCAAAGGAGCTACTTCCTTTGAACTGGCTGGAGAAGCCCAGATCAGAGTGCCTTCGAAAAGAAAGACACAGCCTCAAAACCCAGCTGGTGAATCTTCCAGTGGTTACTTCATAGCTGTTGATGATACTTCTGTCCTGTAAGGAGACCTAGAGAAGATGCTCCAGTGGTCTGCTTGCTTACTGGCTTTTCTGTTGAGAATAATAGCTGTGGACCGTTTAGATTAATTAGTGGTGACCTTTTATTGAAATGAACACTCGCACCCTCTGCCTTGGGTGATACTTGCGTCTTCAGCCTTGGGTGACTTGGAAGTTATATGTGCATTCCGCAACTGGCAACCAGCCTTTTGCGAGGAATTGGAGACATCTGGGTGCCACGTTTGGCACTTAGTATCTCTTAACTGGCTGGCACGGCTGCGATGCCGTCAGCTGTTATGTGGGGCACCACAGGGTTAAAAAATGCATGGCTTTTGGTGCTGCAGGGCCCAGCGATTCACCTAGCTTGCGCCGCACCAAAAGGAGCACACATATCAGGCACGCCCAAAACAGTTGCTACCTGTATTCATTATTTCAATATTTTGTGTGAATTGAATTGTTGGTTGTTGGCTGCTTTGGGCTTTCCTTGGGGAGGAAAAGCAGGATACAAGGAATAAAGGAAATAATAACAAAGTGTGAACATCAGGGGCCAGGGTCACCAGGCATTCTCCTGTTTCTTCTACCTACCTCCAAATTCATATCTACACATGCATTGGGCTTTTGAGTTGGAGAGCACAGTGGTGGCCACTTCTGAATTATTATGGCTTACTTATGACTTACACTTTTCCATTTGTTTATATGCTTTCTAGGGATAAGCTGTTTGGCTGTGCACACTTCTCTCTGTTTTGCTAAAGAGTTTTCCCCTTCTCTTTCGCAGGATTGTTTACGAGCCTGCCAAGAACAGATTGAATCCCTCCTTGAATCTAGTCTACGCCAGGCACAGCAACACAACATATCTTCAGAAACAAAGACTGTTGAAGATGAAGCTGATCTTTCCTGCACACCCACTGATGTTAGAGATGTGAATATTTAAGGAGGACTTCTGCAGTTGGGTTTGCTTGGCAGTACCAGCAAACAACAAAAGGGCATCTGAGAAGGAAGTGGAATCAGGATCTACTCCCCCCCCCGCCCCTCCCTCCCCCCACCCAGGAAAACCTTTTCTCCAGGACTTTTTATACCAGAAGGGAAAATGTCATTCATTCTTTTCTTCGCTATTCCTTCCTACCCTTTGTGACTCTTAACAGACAACCCCCCTTCACTCTCAACCGTCTTAAAAAGAAAAAAAAAATAGTATTTGCATGATCTCCAGGGGTTTGTGCTACAAAAATAGAAGATTTTATACAATAATAATCAATTAGTTTTTTATATATTAAAGTGTTTTTGTCTTTATGTTGTAAAAATAGGCATTAACACACACACACACACACACACACACACACACACACAGTCTCTCCAGGGGAGGTATTAGATTTGATTCTTGCATATTAAAAAGCCAACCATTTTTAAAGTAGAAGAGGGTGTGTTTTTTTAGATAGGTTATATGTGTTTTGGGTGTGTGTTTTTTTCCTTTAAAAAGCATAGCTTTAATGCAGTTCTAGGCTTTTCTGTATCTTGCTTGCTTATGCATTTAGTCACTTTATAATTCATCTGTAAATGTTTATTTTATCCCCTTAGGTTTTTATCCTCTTCACCTTATAAATGGTTTTAATGTAACCTTTACGTTAGTATATGTTAGCAATCAGCATTATTATATGTTAATCTTCTGTGCCTGTGGATTACCTGTGTGTAAGGCTTCTAGGGGTTCCAGCTTAGCATGGCCAGGAAAAGATCCGACATTCTGTTCCAACATTAAAGAGAAGTTTCAATAGCTATATAATATATTTTTGTAACCTTCCTATTTTTGTAGTGTACAAAAACGTGCTGGTTTTCACCCAAACGATACACAGCCTAATTATATCCAGGTTGAATCCACAGTTTTATCTTCTTTTTTATTATTATTATTGTTTTAAAACCATTCCATTTCAAAGCACTTTCAGTTCATTAGGTATAGGAAATACTTTCTTTTTGTGTGTGTGGGAATTTTTTTTTTCTTCAAATGGAATGGTTTGGAAATTATATATATAAATATATAAATATATATATAAAGTGCTTGTGTGCAAACTCAGAATTGCAAAGCAAGTGCATTTAACTATGGTGTGAGGAAAGGTGGGGTTGTTGTTTTTTCCTGAAGGGTTGTGTTCCAGTCAGAGAAATTGCATTCACAAAATTGCCAGGATATCTTCCTAACCTTTTCAATAGAAGAGATGTTTAGAAATCTTTTGGTGCCAATTCATTTTTTAAAAAAAATATAAATTTAGGGGCCTGAAAGGTTTACCTATAGGACACATATTTTGAGAATTGTCTCTAGATGTTGTACAACTGAAGGCTATTAAACACTAAAATATATAATTTATAGTTAAGGCTAAAAAGAATATTTATTGCAGAGGATGTTCAGAAGGCCAGTATAATTTGTAAAATAAATCACCCCCTTGATTCTGAGAAAACAAAAAGATCTTTCTGCCCTTGATGTTGCAGTTTTAACTCATCTTACTAAGAAATGAGGACGTGTCAAGATAGTACTACATTCGGCCCAGATGATTCCAAAATAACCACAAGAAAGCACCATAGTTAAAAGTGTAGAATTGGTCTACTTGAAAAGAAAAGAAAAGTTCTTAATCCAGTGTATTTCCCCTCCTTTTTTTTAATTTAGCTACAAATAGAAAATTTGCACATCTTGGCTATGTATCTTTTTTATTATTATTGTAGAAAGTAGCTGAAGGGACGTGGACATAGCTGTTGAAGTTGATGCTTGAGGAGAATGTGATGGCAAAATGTATGTGAGAAACTGCCGCTAAGGTGTTGATTGTAAAAAACAAAAAAAAAAGTTTTAAAAAGGAAAAAAAAAGGAGCGGACGCTCCCATTTTTTTTTATTGAGCTGCTATGGATAAATTCCCAGCATGAATTGAAAAGAAAAATTAACATTGCTTTTCTGTATCTTTGTCATTGTGTTTTGCTGCTATTTTGTGGTTGTTGTTTTTTGTTTTTTTGGTTTTTTTTTTGGTTATACAATGTCATATACTGCCATGTTATAGGTTTTAAATTTTCTCATAGAAAATTATATTATTGACATTTTTTGGTAGATTTTTTTTTTATGTGATCAATTTTTACTTAATGTGATTTACTGCTCTATTCCAAAAAAGGTTCCTGCTTCACAATACCTCATCCTTCAGTTAACCGTGTTTAGATCAGGTTTTAATGTTCGTTCACAATGCCTCATAGTTCTACTGCAAGCTGAAATGCATTGGACATTATTCTGAATGGGTCTCGCGATTTGCAACTAGTTTGTGCTAATGTTAAAACAGCAGACATTTCAGAAGATCGAGTAATGTCAGGTTCTTTTGGTTATGTTTTTTGTTTTGTTTTGTTTTTTATAAAGTGGATTCTTTTTTTTCTGATCTGGGGTTTATTATCATAGTAGTTTTTAAGCTGTGTTATTAGCCACATTTGATATATGAAAGGTGCATTATAATATAACTCTTATATGCCCGATGCTTTCCATCACTGGGGAATCATCATGCGGTATGATAGGTTATCTTCTGGAATTTAAGTATTGTGTGTGTTTAATCTGTTATGATATATTAGGGTTTTTGTTGATGTTAATTATAGCATAATGCTAATTTAAAAAAAAAAATACAAACAACAACCTGTAAATCTCATTAAGTAAGCCAGCTAACAGAGTTGTATGGTGAAGAATAATCTAGTTGCCTGTATGCTGCTAAACCAAAACAGAATTAGAACTTCATTTTTGAGGGCAAACGCAGTTAAGATCCTACCTAAGCTTATTCAAATGGAAAAGGACAGCAGGCTTGTAAGGCTTCTAGCATTCGCAGGACCCACGAGGACTGGATTCATTCTGTCCAAATTTCAGGAACATTTCTTACTGCTTACCTCATAGACATTTCTGTTTGTGGCATCTCTGTGTCTCTGAACCAAACAAGATTATTGAGTTAGTGGTTGTTGGTTATATTATGTGTTGCTCACTGAGAAGCGGCAGCGTGTACTGCAAAATTTTAAGTATTGTATGTACTAAAAGGCCAAATGCTGTTAAGCGGGTTCACGTGCCAACAGAGATGCTTTATTTGTCACATTGTTATAACGATCTATAGAAAGCAAAACAAATCAGATTTGTATCTTTAAAAAAATAATAATATTGTACTTATTGGCATCACTGGTCTGAAATGCACATGTTCACCAACAGACCTGTAACAGATAAGTTTCCAGCAAAAGAAAGAAGAATAAAGACCTCCCCTAAAAGTCTAGAAATAAATTTGTAAAACCCAATGCTTGTGTCCTGTGCTTTTATTCAGTGGGGACGGTTTGTGAACCACAAATCTGCTGCACTCAATTATCCTTTATTAGAAGTGTTCATGGTTCAGTATAGTTCAGTTTGGTATCTGTTCTATAAAGATTGAGATGTTGAGTAATGTTTTCACACATTGACAGAATAATGCAATGATCAGAATATATTCTTGGCACAATCCTTCCCAAACTCACTAACACAATGCAAAGTTTCTATATAATGGATCACATTTTTTAAAGAAGCCTTTATTTCATAAACATGGTGCATTTACAAGGTTGTCTCAGTCCTTGACAGCGTTTTGCAAAGTTCCTAATGAAATATATGGGCCAGCTTTTTCTTGCAGTTTGTTAAACATGACCTAAAAAGCTTTCACTTTTCTATTAAGTGTTAACACTAGATTCTCTACCTGCTCTGACTAATTATATTAGTTTTAACATGTGGACCACATCTCATACCTTTACAATACAGTCTTCTGATGTCTAGGTCCTTGTGGTTCTCTTGCGTGCCTGATTCTGTGAGTTACAACATGTCCTGATACTATGATCACCCTATGCTGGTGGGCAAGAGTCTCTCAATGGAGCTCCCTCTGAATGGGCCCTCCTCCCCACAGTTACCACTGCCCAGTCATTTCCTTTGCGGAGTCCACACAATTGCCCATTGGAAGGTACTGATCTATCTTGACAGCAGCACAAGCCAGGGGACTCCAGGAGGTATGGCAGTGAGGACCCAGCCCTGGTGCCATCTTGGAAGATGCCAAACAATGCCAACCCCTGGTGCTGGTCCTGCGTTTACCCTCAAGACAACTTTGCAAGGTGAACATAATGGTTGATCAAGGATTTGAACTTGGATTTCCTTTGTCCAAACTCAAAAAATTGGTTCCAAATTTAATCCTCCAAGGCCATGCAACATGCGTAGGCTTAAGGGGGGATCCATTCAAAGGTAAGCACTTTTAAAAGTCTTCGTTATTTCAGTGTGAGAAAGTGGAGCATGTACTACTTGCAGCTGGACTTAAAAAATTAAAAACAATTTGGACTTTCCTCCTTTTCAGTATCTGAATGATAAGGCATTAGAAATTGCACATACAGAAACTAACACTAGCAGAAGCCAATGCAACAAGTCCTGCTAGCTCAACTGGACTCCTGTAGTCATGTTGCTGATACACACAGGCCAGCAAAAATATATCAACTTTTATTCAAATATCAGACAGAACCAGAACAAATTGAAAAGTGCATGATTAAGTGGGCGCAAATGATAGGAGAGAGTATTCACCTAGATCTTGGTAGAAACGTACGGGAAGCGGCTCACAAATTTTCTTTGAACATGGGCATAAGGAGGAAACTATAGTAATGACAAGATGGTATAGTACTCCAGCCAAGGTACATAAAATTAGTAAGAGCCACTCTCCCTTATGTTGAAAATGTCAAGAAGAGATGGGGGAGTTGTTCACATGTGGTAGAAGTGCAAGATGGTGAATAAATATCGGAAGATAATAAATCACAAATATGTTACCTATGAAATCCTATTATGCCCAATTATAAAAAAAAGTATGTCAAACAGTGGGATCAGAAGACAAAGAATTTCCTATATAGTAGCAGAAAATAGACAAAATAAGCTTTTGCCAAATTGGTAGAAATTTACTTACAATACAAAAAGACACCGTTTGGGACCACATAAGTCTTCTGGGCATACAATATATTAATATATTTGGGTAGCTGAATTAATGCAAATCAGATGTTAACATATTGGGTTTATTATAAGAAAGGTTAATGAATGTTTGAAATGAAGTGTTAAACCTTTTAATAGATCAAGAGATTAAGATGATTGGGTTAAGAAAGCTCTCTGTTGGACTTGAGTTTTTATAGATTGAATATAGTTTTTGTTATGTACTTGATTTTATTTTTCGTTTGTATATGCCTGGTGATATGGATTCAACTGTAACTTTCGGAATATGGATGATTTGGATAGATCTTCAGCAATCACTCATAGCCGAGTAAGATTGTCTTCCATAAACACGGTTTTAACAATGTGTCCGTAAGTGACTGTGGAGGCCAATTCTGGATCCACACGTCCTTCCACAGTGGGGACATTGGTTTCTGGGCGGGAGTTGATCACGGTGTGGATTTGCCAAGCGTGCCTTCCTCTTAGCACGTTTCTCCCTTGCATCCTGAGTTTGAGTGTCTTCAAAGTCCAGAAGAAGAATGCACTTAATCTTTTTACGTGTCTCTTAGGTCTTGCATGTGTAAAAGCATATTAAAAAGTTCACAACTCTCCCCTTAATTTTTGTTGTTACGCTATAGCAATGAGCATTCATCCTGATTTGCTTACAGGGTGTTTACACACCTTCCTGTCAATAATTCATTCATCCCACACTTTTTGATGCATCCAATGCATTTTTAATGCATTTATTTTTTAAGTAGATTTATTGCTCTGGGACATGCCCTATAATTCACTTTATTTGTGCAAACCCATGTGCTCGAATCCCTGCTACAAAATAGCGACACAAGTCTAGAGGCAGCCTCTCTTTGGATTCTCAGAGATAACCCTGGAAGATCATTCCATCCAGCCTGACTGAGGAGATGCTCCCACACTGGTGCCAGTTAATTCCAGTGCTTCCTAGTATCCTTCCTGGGCAGTGAGAGAAGCTTGTTTCCCCTGCCTAGGCTTGCCACCATGGACCCTGCATGGACAGCAGTAGCAACAAACGAACAAACTCCAGAGAACCAGAGGCATTCTCTCCCCAGTCCCATTCCAGCATATCTTTTGCCGCCCCTGCCATCAAGAGAGGAGTTAATTTGCTTTGTCACAATCTGTTGCAAGGTGCATTAGGGAATCACCAGACTGAAATGCAGGGTCCTTATGTACCTTAAAATGGAATAAGTGCATAATGAATTGGCTCAGTTTTTATATAACAGCATCTTGCTTTTATGAAGGAGAAAATGCACTTCTAGAACATGCAACCATATAAAATATCCTATTTAAAACAGAGTATATAAACTCACAGAAACCTTTTTTAAAAAATAAGTGTGGTCCGTGTTTACATTTTACAGATTGCATCACATGGCATAGCTCTTGCGGGCAAAAGATACGCTGGAGAGGCAATGTCAACAAACCAGTTATGCCATTGTTGCTATGTTCTAGTTTATGAGTTGGGGGCAAGAGGAGTAGGCTGTATGCAGAGACCTTCCTGAGCCCTGGATCCAGCAAGTGTTAAAATAGAAGTCAGGTTAGCTCCCTGATGAGGTGATCGCCTGGGTGATGGGCCATTAAGGGAACCCAAGAAAGGGGCTCTGTGTGAGATGGCAAATGGGAGGTGCCCCTCCACCAGTTCATGGTTAGTTAGCAGGAAAAGCCATAGTTGAGTTACAGTGATGGTGGATAGAAGAAAAAAAAGCAGACTGGAGACAGAAGCAGAGCAACATTTGATTTCTGTTTGAATTCAAGGCTATGGGAGAAAGAAGACCCTTTTTGTGGTGTTGATGTTGTACGCTCCATCTTACGCTCAGGTGGTATATATGTGTAAATAAACCTTATATCATAAAGACACCACAGTCTCTGTTGTGCCAAATGGAAACATGAACCCTTGGTAAGTGCCTGGAACCCCTGCAATTTTGGCACTGCTCAGGGATTAGGGTAGCACATTACTCTATTATTGTCAAATCTCGACTGCAACGACCATAGAAAGATGCAGTCTTGCATTACTTTCAGGGAGTGGGCTACCTCTCTGGTAGCTGTTCACCATGACCAAATTGTATATGTGGCTGCATTTGCTTATAAAAATAGTAAATTGGGCCTTAAAAAAAGTGTGCCTATACCAAAATTTGTGTTGGGTTTTTGTTTTATTTTTTGGAAAAAAATTTTTAAAAGCCAGTTAGAGAACAATGTAGGCATGTGTTTTTAAACTACTGTTCGTGCAGTCTGGTCAGGACTGTGTGACACAGTATACAGTGTTTTGTCATCCAAGGAATGTCTTTGATCAAGAGTTTATGCAAGAAGGGGGGAGCCATGAAACCCTAATCCGTTCCCACAGTCCAGTAAACGTGAGCTGGACAAACACTGGACAATAGCAGTAAAGCTTGCTGTTGGAACAATAGCACCAACTAAAAAAATTAAAGGGCTGCTGACTCACAGTTCCTACATTCAAGAAAGATTCCATGCAATATTGATTAGTCCCCAGATTCAGAGGGGGCCGAAAGATTTAAAACTTTCATTATACCTTCAGATTATTTGAAGAAAGCACTCACTCATGCTCCAACGAAAAGCAACAACATATGCAATCGATCTCCATTTTGTACCAATGCTAGATAAGGAGGCTGTCTAGGCATCACACAATCTTTTCCTCAACAAGGGCCCTAAAAATAGGCAGACCCATTTGAAAATACAATTGTTGTGTCTGCTATGAAATCATTGAGCCCCAGTATGAAACACTTCTAAATTCTATTCAGCAAGACAAAAGATAGATGCTGCTCTCAAAATGTATTCAAGCAGGATTTATAGTTAGGAAGCACGATGGAACATTATTTGGGGAAAGGAAAATGAACGCTTAGGGGGAAACCAGGTACAATTAAAAACAATAAGAAATGGTTGTTGTAACATTTCTGCTTTTAGCACAGTCTATCTAAAATTGGTATTCCCAAAATTGAAAAGGCTGAGGGCTACTTTGTACTTGATAGCTTCCTTTGAAGTGCAGAGTAGGCTTTTTCTACCTTACAAATACCAAGTAGAGAGCTGACGTGTGCAACGCTGTTTGTTGTACTCACCGTCACTTTATAATTTTTAGTTTATAGGAATTCTCTAAACAGGAAGTTGACATTTCTCAAGAGTTCTCCCGCTTCATTTCAGAGGCAGTTGAGTATACAAAGGATAAGTTTGTTTTCATTGGCAGGTGACATTGCCGTTCATAAGAAAACTGTGTGAAGATGTTTTCATACAACCAAGCTATTGCTAGAGAACCATAATCATTTTATGAGAAGTGTGGTTTTGTAAATGATGGTCATGGCCATATGAATTCTCTCATCCAACTCTTTCAGAAACATCCCCAAATGTCAGGATTTGACACACAAACATAGCACCTGTAATGTTTTCAAATTGAGAAAGTTACTGTTAATTAGCTGACAATTTCCAGCTGCTTATGTCATAACATACAACTGTACAGCATAAAAGCATGTTAATTACACACAGTGGGTTACCTAGCTGATAATTTCTTCCTCTCACTTCAAGTATCTACAGGACCATACCAAGACATTTTGTTGCCTGAAGTGAAGGACAATATGGCACCTCACAAGTTTATTTAATTTTATCGAACACCGGTGATAGAATAGCACCCTCCACCACAGGACAGCAGGTTAACTTAGTAACACACACAGCTTGGCCCTTCAACGCCTCAGGACCATTCCTTATCCCCCAATATCTGCTGCCTGAGGTGGCCCTGGGACTCTGCATTATAGGAAGAACTACAAATAGGTAGAAGATGCTTTGAGGACACTGAGAAGATATTGGGATGAAAGCAATAGTTGTACTGGTAATAAGTATATTACAAGTGGCAAGCACACTTGGTATACGGCACACTAGCAATCCTTATAACAGCTTTGGGCCAATATTTTGGTGGTGTTGGGAGCTGAAACTGCACACTACATTTAAAGCAGCACCATACCATTTGAAGTAGTCAGGGCTCCCCCCCCCAAATGCTGGGATCTGCTGAGAATTGCTAGGAGACCCCCCTCCCCCATAGAACTGCATTTCCCAGGGTACAGTGGTACCTCGGTTTACAGATGCTTCAGGTTACAGACGCGTCAGGTTACAGACTCTACTAACCCAAAAATAGTACCTCGGGTTAAGAACTTTGCTTCAGGATGAGAATAGAAATTGCGCGGCGGTGGCGCGGCGGCAGCAGGAGGCCCCATTAGCTAAAGTGGTACCTCAGGTTAAGAAGTTTCAGGTTAAGAACGGACCTCCAGAACAAATTAAGTTCTTAACCCGAGGTACCACTGTATGTTAACAGTCAATCCCTCTTATCAGGGAACTCTGGGAATTGTAGCTTTGTGAGGGGAATAAAAAAAGGTAAAGGACCCCTGACAGTTAAGTCCAGTCGCGAACGGCTCTGGGATTGTGGCACTCATCTCGCTTTTCCGGCCGAGGAAGCTGACGTTTGTCCGCAGACAGTTTTTCTGGGTCATGTGGCCAGCATGACTAAGCCACTTCTGGCAAAACCAGAGCAGCACACGGAAATGCTGTTTACCTTCCTGCTGGGGCAGTACCTATTTATCTGCTTGCACTTTGACGTGCTTTTGAACTGCTAGGTTGGCAGGAGCAAGGACCGAGTAACGGGAGCTCAACCTGTCGCGGGGATTCGAACCGCCAACCTTCCGATTGGCAATCCCTAGGCTCAGTGGTTTAGACCACAGCACCACCCGCGGGGTCCCCTAACAACTCTCAGCACCCTTAACAAACTTCTGTTCTCAGAATTCTTCAAGGGGCAGCCCACAACTGTTCTAAGTGGTATACTGCAGATGAAATTTTCAAATTATATACCTTATAATTTACCTTATTTCTGGCCTCTAAACTGTTCCCTCAATTCTCATAATTTCTACAAATTGTTTATCTTGTATTCACCATATTCTTCTGGTCATCCTGAATATTTTTACTTGCTGCTGTTTAAAAATAATCATGAAAGAAAAACTGCAGCAATCGTATTACTTTCCTGCTGTTTGCTTCCTGCCTGGACTACTATGTGAAAAATTAATATTCAAGCCCAGAAACCAGATATTAAGAACGTCTCCAAGATTGGCTCTCTGCTCTTACTGGTATTCAAATGATGCCCAGAGATCTCTTATGCTTATCTGATTTACCCCCACAGCCCTTTGAACTACAAGGAATGTACCCTCACAGTTTAAACTCCGGAATTCAGGAGGCAGGAATTGGCCTCAGAGAACAAATGCTCTTGGGGAAGGAATTCACTGAACTCAACCTCCAGATCTACTGGATTCTTTAAACTATAAGGGAGAATATTCTCCATTCATTTAAACTTGGTTGGGGGAATTTTCTTTGTGCCCTCCAGAGAGTGCCGGACTACAGCAGCCATCATCCCTGACCATTCTCCATTATTTGGGGTAAGCGCAGACTGTATGCAGCAACAAGACAAGCAGAGCACCCCTAAATGCAGGTAGTTAAATTTAATCAAAATGAAGCCAAAGTAAACCACAAATAATTCATTCAAGTATGAAGGGCTTTGTCAAGTGGCTTGACTTCCCTACAAGAATTAGCCGATACTGGGTTAAATTAGGCTGCAAATTGCAGTTCTGTGGGCAATTTACCTAGGAATAAGATCCACTAAACATAGGACAGGGGTAGGTAACCTAAGGCCAGGGGGCTGGATGGGGCCCAATCTCCTTCTCAATCTGGCCTGCAGACAGTCCAGGAATCATTGTGTTTTTACATGAGTAGAATGTGTCCCTTTATTTAAAATGCATCTCTGGGTTATTTGTGGGGCATAGAAATTCATTCATATTATTTTTCAAAATATAGTCCGGCCTCCCACATTGTCTGAGGGACGGTGGACTGGCCCACGGCTGAAAAAGGCTGCTGACCCCTGATATAGGAGGACTCACTTCTCAGTAAACATACATAGGACTATGCTGTTAGTGAACAAGTGAGCAGAATATTGCCACCCCTCATACATCCACATGCAAAAGGTCCAGAGCCATGGTTCCCAACGTGGGGCACACGCCCCACAGGAGGGCAATTTTTAAGGGGGGCAATTTGAGAATGAGTTGTAAACAGCTAACGGCCTTTTAGGCTTCCTCCACATGAATAGTTCACTTTTTGAAAAATAAGAATTATATGTCGGGGGGGGATCAGGATTTTAGCGATGCTGAGGTGGGGCATAGCCAAAAAAAAAGGTTGGGACCCACTGGTCTAGAGGTTTACGTTAAAAGGGGACACAATGTTCTGCCCTAGACTCATTTTCAGGAATGGTGGGTTAGAAGGCTTTTAAATGAAATAAATAGTTCACCCTTAGGTTCCACTGAAATCAATATGTGTAACTAATCCTCACCCAGAAATTGTGATTTTATTCATTTTGGGGTGAGGTGTTGTTTTTTGCAGCTACCATGGATGGTTATTTCTATAGATGTCGGCTGTGTGTTTTTATTGTTATAAACACTCTTGCGGGCAGGATTGAGCTACTTTGGCAGGATATAAGTGGTAAAAAAATATTAAAATTAATTAATGGTCCGTTTTAAGGAATGGGAGCAATGAAGCTGCACTTGGGCAAAATTGCTTTAAGGTCCTATTATATTTGCACTCATGAAAGCTATTGAAATTATTTAACTTATAACACCGAAAATTACCCCCACTTATAGGGCTGCAATCATATACATATACCTGGGGAAAAGCTCCATTGACCTCAGTGGTTTATGGTAAATACACGGGAGTGGGAAACCTCAAGCCTAGGGGCTGAACGCAATCCTCCCGGACAGTGTCACCTTCCGAGGTCCTTGAACTGTAACATTATCTTGCTTGCATGGATGGAGAGTGGCATATGTTCAGCCACAGATGTATCCAGCCATAATCCCCAGAGGGCTGCCCATGAAGGAATGCAGCCCTCGGGCTGAAAATGGTTTTCCCGCCCCCCCTCTGCCTAGGATCACCCTTTACATATTAATGCATTTATTTACTAATATTTTTGTGATCTTTGGTTTGACTACTTTGCCAACTGTACAGACCTACATCCCTGCAAGGAAAGTTCACATGGCATTCTAACTAATAGTCAAAAGGACCATCAAGCCAAGTGGCATTAACAACGTTTAAAGTCTTCTAAACCTCAAGCTATTCTGCTCTAACCATTTTTTAAATAATCAAATTAACTAATTGGCAGAATGGGTTGCAGACAAGGAAACATAAAAGGCAGCATGCTACTTAGGATCAAAGCACAAGGGTCATTTTTGTCTGTGTCAAACATGAGTGTAATATCTTGTACAAGGGAGACATTTTCTTATATATTTTAATGGTCCAGGTTGTGTTACTCCTAAGTGTAGAGTCTTTGATATAATTAAATCTTCACCTTAAAAGCTGCCGCCTAGAAAGAGACATTCCACACTTGGCATGGTGTATATTTAATTTGGTAGTACCGAGAACAATAGACGTAGACATAAAAGAGTTTATGGATCTTAGGTTTCAAAAACCTTGCAAACCGAGATTAATCTAATCTCCTTTGTGTAAACCAGATCCCATATAAAGGAATCAACACCTTTCCTAAACTAGTCTGTAATATTAGGGGGCAGGTGGATTTGTTGCTAATTTACAACCATTCCTCCAAAGGTACACGCTATACAGCTGGACAATAAGGAGGTCACCAAAGATTTTTACATACATAGTCATCGGCTCTTAACAAAAATTAATCTAATGTAGAGGTCTCAGTGGCTAACTTCCGAAGCAAAGGAACTCAACAAATGTCTCTAGACAGAAATCCAGATGCAAATTAACTCTTAACGGATGAATTGCACACGAATCATTTTGGAAATAACTTTAAAGTTACAAATAAACTGTGATCCTCGGATGAAGGGCAGTATATAAATTTAATAAATTTAAATCAATAAACGTGTCTCTTACAAGTGTCAATTTGTACCTTGATATTTCCAAAATGGGTGTGTGCATTTATCAGTCCTACAACACAAATCAAACCATCAGATTTAATAAACTGATGATCTTCTTCTGGTATAATGGTCCTGATTAGGTGGGGGAAGGAACTGCCAGAGGATCCCTTCTAAGCCCTCTCATGTTGGTGCTCCAACCTATAGTCCCTTCTCACCTGTTGAAGCAATACAGATTTCTGTCAAGGAGGCAGAGAAGTCTCTGCAGTTGGCCATTTCTAGAAAAACAAAGAGATAGCTGCCATATATAATGCAAGGTATTTTAGCCAAGCATATTTTATAAAACTGAAAATTAAGTCTCTGGTCAACAAATGGCCTGTCTCTTTTATTGCACACATACATGCTTGGGTTCAGAAATGTGCAACTGGAAAGTCACTCAAAGGAACTTGTGTGTCTGTTCTTCCCCACATCAGTCTGTTGCACCAGCCAAAAATATTCTCGTGTGGGGTTGGAGCATCTCCAGAGTGGCAAGGGTGAGAAGAAGAGTTTGGATTTGATATCCCGCCTTTCACTCCCCTTCAGGAGTCTCAAAGCGGCTAACATTCTCCTTTCCCTTCCTCCCCCACAACAAACACTGTGAGGTGAGTGGGGCTGAGAGACTTCAAAGTGTGACTGGCCCAGGGTCACCCAGCAGCTGCATGTGGAGGAGTGGAGACGCGAACCCGGTTCCCCAGATTACGTGACTACCGCTCTTAACCACTACACCACACTGGCTCTCAGAGGCATAGGAGGATGCAGTTCCACTGATGCACATCTAGCTAGGTTGGGAATGAGCAACATGTTGTTTGTGGGCTCTAAAGCCCATCAACTCTGAACACTGGCTAATCCATGCCCTTGACTGCAAATCTGCAATATTATTTCACCCTTCTCAGCCATTATAATTAGGTAAATGTAAACACATGAACAAATGCTCTAGCTCCATTCCCCCATTGCCATTTTCATTGCTTTCCTACTCAGAGCTGGCAAGCCTCTGTAGCGGGGAACCTTTTGTACCTGTGGAGGATTCCCATGTGGTTTAGAACCCTAGAAAAACCAGGATTTTAAAACAGGTAGTGATGGGGGAGCCTCTATGAATTGGGAAATTAGAAGACTGGTGATGGGGTGGGAGAAAGAAAACATGCTACCAGCCCACAACCTGGCTGCATTAGCCTATTGTAACTTTTGAAGGAGGCTCATGTATACTGTTTTTCTCAATTTTACTTAATGGGGCATATAGCTAAATTACTTCCGGTCCCCTTGCTAGAGACTCCTCCCCCCCCCTTGATTGTGCTCCCACATTAGTTTATTTTAGCTAATTTGTGTCCCCTCACAAAAATCTGACTAAATTAAGTGGGTTAATAAATTCTCATGAGTCTGCAGTTTAGATAGTGAACTGGACTGCCACAAGAGAAAATATGAAGAAAAAGGTTTTAATACAAAGAAAAGGATATTCCAAAATGACATCTAACACCAGACGGGGGACACAATACAAAACAGGCTGTGGATGTGACCATCTCATGCAGTACATTTGAGTTCCACGATCAGCATTACAAACAATATTAAGAGGTGTAGTTATGAACAAAACATGAGTAAATGGTTACAACTAAACAATCCACCATGGAACTTAGAGGACATGAATGAAGATTATCCTGCATCAGAACAAATGTCAGGGAGAAGAATATTTGCTTGTTTGCAATGGAAAAAATCCTGAAATCTCATTGAAATGAAAGGGCAAAGCTGGAAATCACTGTACTGCACGATACAATGAAGCTGTAAAAACATGGAAAGCTGCGTAACATAAAAATGGGTCTTCGGGGGGGGGGGGGGCTGGTTTCCGTATTTTATTTTCCCAAAGCAGTTTAAGCATACAACGTTCCATTCATTTTGGAGGTTAGGTTTTGAGGATTACATGCCTATACAGTGGTACCTCGGGTTAAGTACTTAATTCGTTCCGGAGGTCCGTACTTAACCTGAAACTGTTCTTAACCTGAAGCACCACTTTAGCTAATGGGGCCTCCTGCTGCCGCCGCACTGCCGGAGCACAATTTCTGTTCTCATCCTGAAGTAAAGTTCTTAACCTGAAGCACTATTTCTGGGTTAGCGGAGTCTGTAACCTGAAGCGTATGTAACCTGAGGTACCACTGTATATGAAAAAAGGATCTCTTGAAAAATTATCAACCGCCTTTGGAATTTCCAGTGAAACACAAAAACAGTTTTACATCTTTATTTCCTAGATGATATATTTACTTTTCCCACTAGGTGGCCCTAAACTAGCGGCTTGCTTACGGAGATCTATTTGGTAGCTTAGACAGAAAGGATACCTTTCTCCTTGCATGGATGCAGCACATGTATATAGAGCAAGATAATAGGGGGAAACCAGAGCTATGGGTCAGCTTCTTCTTTGCCCTGTCCCCAGCGAACATGCATGGGTTTTGTTGTTGTTGTGTTGGGGGGAATCACACCTAAACTTAGTTATTACATAATCATGTTCATAGGCACCAGGAATATTACCCCCTCCATTTAAAAAGTGAATATTCCAAGTGCAGAGATGCTGAGATTAAAAATGGGTAGGGCAGAAAGAGTCAACACTGTCAGTGGGAATCCCAAAAACTGCAAGGAAACACTGGCTTTTGAAAGCAAACCATTCAACTTCCTTTAACTGAGCATGTATGCTGGTCTCATGTTGTCAAGTAACGCGGCAACAAAGAACAGAGCTGGGTAGATTTTCCTACCCAGAGCTGAGAGTTAAACTGGTACTTACTTTACTTACCCTTAACTGCAACCAGTTAAGGGCACAGGTAGGAGGAAAAGGGGTACACTGGGCCAATTTGTTCCCTTCCCAAATAGATCCTTTAAAAAGCTTAAAGAACCACAGCCGGGGCAGGGGTGTAGGTGTGTGTGTGTGTGTGTGTGTGTGTGTGTGTGTGTGTGTGTGTTGGCCCACAAAGGCACTTGAAATGTTCTGCAAAGGCTCCCACTTCTGTTTCCTTATTTTGATGAGAGACTAATTGCATTTTCTAGAAAATGTATTAAAGCCAGGCTAAGTCATTTCCACATCTCAGTGCTGAAGATATTTCTTATCTCAGTGTGTGAGATATTTCAAAGGAAAAGTGGTGTTTTGGAATGAAACATTCTTTGAGGGCCAGCAGGTCAGATATCTATTAAAAAGTATGCTTTCATCTGTGAACTATATCACTATAGTAATATCAGCTTAGACTGCACAGCATGCCAGGAGGGGGGCACAACTACATATACGGATAACATCTGTTTTACAGATTAGGTTGCTGCATTTCTTGCACTAATATAGTGCAATATATCTTTACACACATTGCCAGGAGAATGTCAGGTTTACAAATGAAATTTTGAAAGTGTTTACAAGACCCAGATCACAGTATCTGAAGTCATTTCAAAGTTACCTACTCAATACAAATGACACCAGTATATTAACAAGCCACTGTGTTGTAGTCCAATTTCCAATATTAATTTCTAGCCTCATTCTCTCCACTCAAGATTTCACCACCTCTTTAGTAGCCTGATGGGAGTTCTTTTCTCCATTTGTGGTCCTTTTCAGAATGTAAGTGCAGATCCTTCAGCACCAAGTCTAACACTGGAAGGAATATGCAGCAATGAACAAACCTAAAATGAAAAACAGAAATTGTAAACAATGGTTTTTATAGTTATACTGTGCATTATCCTCAAGTGATCTACAATGTCAGTCACACTCAGAACAGATCCATTAAAGCCAATGAGCCTAAGCTTACTTAGTATGATTTAGTTGGATGTTACCCGTTAGTTAAGTTACATTGGGTGACATCTTACTCAGTGCTTTTTTTTCTAGAAACATAGGTGCCGTGTTGTTACAGTAAGGGCCACATTTTTAACAGCAACAAAAGAGGTGTCGGTACTGCGTGCCCCTTGAGTGCCCCTGACAAAAAGCACTAATCTTACTGTGTCCATACACCTCAGGAATGGCTTTTTGCACATGCAGTGGGACTTTCCCATCTTTCCCTCTGAGCTACAGCACCCTGCACACCTCCAAAATCTGTTCCATATTCTCCAAAGCAGATTTTGGGAGACATGGGAAGGTATGGGGGGGGGGGGAATCGGGGGGGCGGGTCTGCTCATGCAACACTGGATATCAGCTATGATGATTACATTATTGTTCCATGGGAATAGCATACAATTTGAATACAGCTGAAATGAATACTCCTTTTATTCCAACACTAAAATCAGTTTCCAACCTGTTTAAACCGTCCTCTGATTTTCTCCAGGTCTTCCTGAAGTTTTTCATAGGCTGGATCCTCACAAGGAAATGTCCGAATCATCTCTATTAATGACTCTAGAGCTTTTATCTTTTTACTGAAAAAATAAGACCATTTTATTTTACAAACAGTATTTAATAATTTGATGTATTGAAATACAGACTTTGGTCACACAATCCCTTCAAATGTATTTTGCTACTGTTGTTCGTTTCAGCATCATACCAGGGACAACTCACAAAAATCAAAGCTATGTTCACAAATATCTACCACTGAGATGTGGGACCCACTTTGACAATGGCCCTTTACGCCTTGGCATCAATAATACCTGTAAAGGCAAATCACGCAAGTCAGACTGTGATACCCAGACCAGCATTGCCTCTTTCTAAGGGATTGCAACAGAGGAGCCTTGCCATTTAACCAATCCACAGAATTTATTTTTGCCCCCCTTATTAGACCAGCATGAGATGAACCATGCTACCCTAGAATTATATGTAGAAATCCATTTGAAAACCTGTTCTTCTGAAATATCTTCAAAACATATACAGATAGTAGCACACTTTGGACATTCAAATTGAATGTGTGAAGAGAGTACCTTTCCTCACCTCCAGTGAAATGCTTTGCAAATATGTCTGCATTTCCATTTTGTCTTTTTTGCACAGGATCTTGGTCAGAAAAAGCCTTCCTGCTTTGTGCTCACAACATGGTGCCCATGAGCGCATAGGGTCTCCTCTCCACTGAAAATAGGTTTGAAGTAAGCATTCTACTGTAGCCAACAGAATAGGTAAGAGAGTTCATTTTCTCCAGTTTGCATATGGGCCCATGGGCCCCCCAAGAGAAGCTTAATCAACTAACTGATTCCTTAAATCAAATGACAACCCTAAATTATTTCCTGTTCCATAGAAGGGAACAGTCAGTAACTAAAAAAGATGTTTGAACAAATGGAATTTGAACAAAGGTGTTCCACACCCGTATCTTCTACCTGTATGCGGAACAACACTAGCTCAGAAAATTTTTTCATATACATCTTAAGGAATTCATGTAAACACAGGTTTTCAACATGCCTAGTGAAGGCAATTCAGCAACAGATGCTTAAATGCAGCAGAACAAATGACACGGGTTAGGGCCACAGCTTACATCGTGTATGCCGTGCATTGGACAAAAAATACTACATTTCAGTTGTTTTTCAGAGTACGAACTAGCAATGCAATCAAAACTTATAAATAAACACCCCTATTTAGCAATCTGGCACTTGCTGGGTCAGAGAGGCATCCATTTGCCAGGCATTGAGCCCAGAAATGCTGTCTATATATATAAAAACCCCTGATATCCTACACATGACCTCATCTCTCAATGTCTAGCAGTGGATTCCTGCCAGTTAACAGTCACCTCTGTATCTGAAGGAGGAATGGAAACTGCATCCACATGATATTTAGTGGTGGTCATTGCCAAAACACCTAAAAATACAGAGGTAATCCAGCCAGACCAGCATGAAAGCATGTTATAAAGAGGTGGTAGAAAGAGCAGAGCACATGGTTTAACTTACATCCCTTTGTTTCAGAAGGTAAAAGCATCTGTACTGCCCAGTGAAAGTCAACCAAATACCATGCTTGAGCACTGCTAAATTTGCAAAGCCAAGCGTTCAGAATCATGTTTTCTGAATCCTGATATAGATGTAATGTTGCTGAACACAACTAAAATGGCACAATGTACAATACTGTGCTAAGAGTTATTGGTATGATATAATATTACAGGCGCACATAATACTCGCTCCACATTTGTCAGAACCCAATCACTTAGTGTGGCAGCATCTACACTTTGGAACTATATTATTTTTGGCGCCAGCTAAAAATGTTCTTGTTTACTCAAGCCTACCCAGATGCTTAGAAAAGCTGATGTGAATTTTAAACCGTTTTAGTATTTTAACTTCTTGTATGTTTTAATATATTGTAATTTTTCCCTCACTTTATGGTTCTATCTTTTTGTAAAATGTTTTGAGGGTGTGTTTTTTTACACAACCAAGCAGTGTATAAATTTCATGAAATAAAATTAATAGATATTTGATGCTTAAATCCTGGTCACTCTTAGTGACCAGCGCTGCTACCTCCCCACTTATTTTACTGTTGGTGTTATGGTCTTATGGTGTTACGTTCTCTCTCCTCCTTCTACTGTGATATTATCTGCTCTCTCTCTCGCTCTCTTTCTCTTTTTAATCTGAAGGAAACAAGGAGAACCAATGCATGATACGCTGGCTTTATTTTTAAAAACCTACCTGTTTTTCTCATCAGAGCCTTTATGAAGCAATTTCTGCCATGTCATTGCAAAACCAAGATATGATCCAATCTACAAATTTGGAAAGAGATCATTTAATTTTCCTTGTTATGCCAATTATGTCTTTTTCATTTAAGAAAATCTTAGATATGTATTTAACGGGACTTACTTCCATGTAAACATACTTAAGAATGAAGCCTAAAAAAACCTGTTTGAATCTAGGATTATTATTACAATATGAATTTTGCACAGAACTTGGATATGTCCAGTAACAGAGCAGCAGAAACAGTGATGCTCACTTTATAGATCAATATACATTTAGGCCCCAAGAAACATAGATTGTCATGTTGCTTTTTTTGATCAAAATGCTCAATTTATTTTTTAACACATACTTCTAAACCAATCTTTGCACCTTGTTGTATGCCATATTGCCTTCCTTCAAGGAGTCCAACACGTGTTCCTTCAGCATATCCTTCCTGATAGCCTTCACCATGAAATCTGAAATGAGAGAAAGATTTTGAAAGAGCCGTTAGGCTGAAGCAGCAAAAGAGTGCTTGCACCTTGGAGGCTAACAGCCCAATCCTATGCATGTTAACTTCAAAAGGAGTCCCACTGAGTGTCAACCAGCTTCAATGGGATTAACTATGTGCAGTTGATTTCTTCAAGTATGACCAAACTTTGCTACATCATCTTAGTGCTACATACTTTTTACTAGGTGGCATACAAATAAGGCAAATAAGAAAATAAAGTTATACAAACAGTTATACAGTTAAGTAAAGTCATCTAGTTATATCGGTCCCCCCCCCCCAAGTAAAAACTTATTCTTTGTCCATGGAGTTTTCTTGGCAGGGATACTGGAGTGGCTTGCCAGTTCCTACTCCAGGTGGATCACGTTTGGTCAAAACTCTCCACTATGACTTGTCCATCTTGGGTGGCCCTGCACGGCGTAGCTCATAGCTTTCTCTGAGTTATTCAAGCCCCTTCGCCACGGCAACGCTCACTGGAAGGACAGATCCTAAAGCTGAGGCTCCAATACTTTGGCCACCTCATGAGAAGAGAAGACTACCTGGAAAAGACCCTGATGTTGGGAAAGATTGAGGGCACTAGGAGAAGGGGACAACAGAGGACAAGATGGTTGGAGAGTGTTTTCGAAGCTACAAACGTGAGTTTGACCAAACTGCGGAAGGCAGTGGAAGACAGCAGTGTCTGGCATGCTCTGGTCCATGGGGTCATGAAGAGTTGGACACAACTAAACAACAACAAGAACTCATATTTTGTTGTATTCATAAAACCTAAGGGCAGGACAGAACTTCTGGAAAAGGAGCTTCAAGGGGATCCAGCAGCAAGCCATACTTTCAGAAAGTCATCTTAAGCTTCTTTGAAGCAGTTCCCCCAGCAAGCAAATTATATTGCAATTGAATTCCCTTAGTTTAAGTCAAGTATTTATTTTAGGTGGTGTTGAGTCTATGGTAATACATAGGCACTTTACTAATTTCCCACACTTTGAAAGTACTTGTCCATGGGCAGAGAGGTGGCTGAAGTTATACCATGCTACGTTCTAAAGCTGTTAGATGCTCTTTAGGCGACAGGGTTTCACTTTTAGCCCAAACTGATTCAGGTCACACAAAAAGTGTTCAAGCTGCCAAGGTTATAAATGGTTTTATAGATTTAAATTTTCTAAGTTGTAAGGCAGATGAACTGGTATGGCAGATATGAGCCTGTGAGTACTGGAAGACCAGCCTTCCAGGTCTTTTCCCATCTGGCCTGACAGAGCAGGGCCCTGACTCTGCAAAAAGCTGCAAAAGCTGAGGCTGCGGAACAGACTCTTGAGCTGGAGTATTATTTAGGGGCGGGGTCATTGCTGCTGCTGCTGTTATTTGTTTGGGGAGTATCTCTACTTATAGATCTTATGATTTATGTGGAAATTGTTTCAATCTGGTTGTATACTTTTTAATGTGTTTTATATGTATCGTTTACTTGCTTTTGCTGTGTTTGCATTCACATAAATGGTTTCATGCTGTAAGCAGCCTTGAGCATGGTTTTAACTATGGAAAGGCAGCATACAAATAAAGCGATGACGATGAGCCAGAATATATGCATTACTATTTTCTTGATATATGGACATACAGTGAAACTTGACTGACTAGCATAGTGCTCTTAACGCTAGTGAATATGAACATACTTTGTAAAAGCTACTATTCTCATTAAGGGTTCTAGGGGAAGCAATTGCAACATTAAAGTGAAAAGAAACAATACAATCACACAGAACTGCCCTTCTAAGGCAGGTCACGTTTACTCCTATTTTACAGACTAGAGAATGGAGGAAAAGTAAAAACTGGCCAGGCTACCAATGAGCTTGGTGCGCTCTCTCTCTCTCTGTGTGTGTGTGTGTGTGTGTGTGAGAGAGAGAGAGAGAGAGAGAGAGAGAGAGAAAGAGACAGAACTACCACCACCTCATCATTCTCTGTGCAATCTCATTTTTTTAACAGTGACACAACAGGCAGAAATCTAGCAGGTTAAACTTTCCTCTCGTATTGCATCTCTGGGAGGATGAGAAACTGCATTTCTAACACACAGGTGTTAAAATGACAGCAGCCATGGGGGGCATAATATAAGTTTATGACATTCTAAACTCTCTCATATAACACTAGACCTCGTGGGCAGCCAACGAAGCTGAATGTTGGAAGTTTCAGGAGGGGCAAAAGAAAGCACCTCCTCAAACCACGAAACTCACCCCCGGGAGGCAGCGATGGCCCCCAACGCGGACGGCTTCAAAAGAGGACTAGACAAATGGATGGGAGGAGAGAGGGCTGTCGACGAACGCAGCTGCGAGGCAGCAATGCTTCCGAAGACCAGTTGCTGGAAACCGCTGCAGGGGAGCTTGGATGCTGCTTGGCCGCTGTGAGAACAGGATGCTGGGCGAGATGGACCGAAGGCATCATCCAGAAGGGCTCTTTTTATGGGGCCGAGTTTGGGCCCTGATCTCCGAAAGCGAAAGCAATTTCCCAGAGAGAAGCAGCAGCCTCAGCACCGGGTTCCTCCCCGAGGGGCCTATAAAGCCAGGCTCAGAGCCACAAACGAGTCCAACGGGGCCCAGGAAACGGGAGGCCCCAGGGACGCCGCGCCTCTCTGCCCGATGCGGAGGCGAAGGAAGCGGGCAAAGCTCCCCCCGAAGGACGCCCAAGGCAGACCCGGGAACACCATCCGGCCCTACCTCGTCTCCGCCATGACAATGGTATCGAAGGCGTCCGACCCGCCTGCGTCAGCCTCCATGGCCTACGACGGCTCCTGCCTCATCGGCTCCCAGCCACCGACTGGTTCTCTCACCGTGCGGCGACGTAAGGGGGCAACGGACGGCAAGCCGGCGGGGCCAAACGCGATCGCCCTCGTCGCGCATGCTCCAAAGGACTCGGGCTTTCCCTCGTGACGTCACAGCCCGACTGGCTGGAGCGCCGCGCTCACGGTGTAGTTTTGGGCCGTTTTCCTCAAGCGCCGCGTTTCTTTGCTCCTTCCCAGGTCAGCCGCTAGAGGGCGCCGGTATTCTTCGCGAAAACGCCTCGTCTCTTTAGAGAAGCTGAATCTGAGCGCGCCGCCTTTGACTGCAGTTTATCACGAGGATAAGGGCTTCCCCTTTCGCTGTGACGCGTCGGGCGTTTTCACACGTGACGCGCAAGGAAGGAGGCAAACTTTCTGCTTTCCGGAGTTCTTTTTCTCTGATATATAGTATGAGACATTCCAATTTAATTATCGTACTGCTTGAGTTTGTTGAGAACTATCCGACACATTTTTATTTTTAGAAACTGCATATGTTGCATTTGGTTTAATTTCGTTTTGCACAAATTCCCCTTTCTAAACAAAACAACAAAAACCGCAAGCCGCCTCCATCTTTTCTCATCTGTGGTTGGTTAAAAACTTGTGCTACCAATATTCATGCATGTTTTTGCTCTTTCAAAAATGGCACAAAATGTGAAAACAAATTGCGGCATTTTGAACTGCATTGGTGTCTTTTACTGTGTTCTACTACCCTGGCAGGGTTGCTGTGGTTAGAGTATAATAGTTTGGAAGTATATGAGAATGTTGGATTAGAAATATTCTATAGTGAAATGTATGAGTTCTTTTTCTTTTCCTGGCTGGTTAAAAATTGACAAAGATTTTGGACAATTTTTGAGCAGTTTTTCAAGTACTGAGTGACCCAGACATGGTCATTCAAGTGCAGCGCTGAGACATCCATCTAATCTTCCCTGCTAAAACAACAGAGCAATTCCATCCAAAGTTATCAGTCAAAATTTCCTTCTGTAAACAGTCATTTCAGCTGCTAAAACACATTGTTTATGGGGAAACTGGGAGAACTAGTAACTTTCACAGGGTGACACTGAGCAAAGAGCAAGGTCCAATTTAGTTGATTCTCTTGCAGCCTCCTACCTAGATGCAAGCAACACGTACCAAGAAGTACAAGATACTGGCTTTGATGCCTGAATTGGAAAGCGTTCATTAACAGTTTTTAAAAACAAAAAACTTACAAACTATATTTGCATAAGAAAAAACAATCAAAATGAAATGGTTGGTATTCGTTGAGTTGGGAAAGGGCCATAGGTCAGTACTACAGCATCTGTCTTCAACGCAGAATGCCCCAGGTAGAGTTGGGAATGTTCCCTGTCTGAAATTCCAGAAAGCCATTGCCAATCAGTGTAGACAGAAAGATGGACCTAACTCTGTATAAAGCCATTTTCTATGTTCCCCCAAGGAAACCATGCTCATCAGCTGATGTGGCACATACAGTGCTACCTCGGGTTAAGAACTTAATTCGTTCTGGAGGTCCGTTCTTAACCTGAAACTGTTCTTAACCTGAGGTACTACTTTAGCTAATGGGGCCTCCCGCTGCCGCCGCGTGATTTCTGTTCTCATCCTGAAGCAAAGTTCTTAACCCGAGGTACTATTTCTGGGTTAGTAGAGTCTGTAACCTGAAGTGTCTGTAACCCGAGGTACCACTGTACATTCCATCTGTTGTGATTTATGGTGATTTCCAACTTATCATCTATTATATTTCTGTGTTTCTGTTTACAACCATTATTACAGTTTGTTGTTTGTATCTTTGAATACTTGCAGTCACTCCCTCTAATTCGAGTGCTAAAAGGATTGGAGACAAGAGGAAGGTGAGAGATGTGGAGAGGGTTATTGGCTTGTTCTTGTTTTTCATGTATTTTGTGTTTTTTCATCTTGTACTTTTATGTTGTGAAGTGCCCTGAGATCTACAGATGAAGGGCAATATACAAATTTAATAAATGATAACAATATGATAATAACATGTTGAGGTTTGCGGAAATACAATTATTTTTTAAAAAAATAATCCTGAAAAAAGCCCTTTGAGGACTGAGATTGCTCAGTAGTCACGGAACATTTAGTAGCAATGGAGGGTGGGGAAGAATAAAATATAAGGGATGGGCGATGGAATTCCCTGCTTAAGAAGGGCCAGGCTGCTTGGAACGCTCAATGGGGAGGATTACTGTTAGGAGGTGAGGAACTACTGCAACATTTTGTTGCTGAACCCACTATGACGAACATGCATCAATAAGATAGGCTTGTTCATTTCCACAGAGCTTAGGTGCCTGTAAAAGCAGCTGTTGTGTTGGCAGCTATGTAGCCCATTCCTGCCCTTGCTTTAACTGCTGCAGTGCAAATGGGCAAAACAGTAACAAAAATTGTAATCCTATGCATGTCTACTCAGACGTAAGCCTCCTAGTGTTCAATGGATGTGGATGGGAGACCTTCTGGTAATGATACTACCTTGGTTTCTATGATGGAAGAAGTGTGGGATAGAAATGTAAAGAAACAATACTAACTTTTGGTATAGAATAAAAAGGACAGCTATTTTCCTGAGAACGGGGGCAGTTAAAAAGAGTCAGACTGTCTGTTTAAAGGAATCAATTATTTGATTAAGGCAGGCATAGGCAAACTCGGCCCTCCAGATGTTTTGAGACTACAATTCCCATCATCCTTGACCACTGATCCTGTTAGCTAGGGATGATGGGAGTTGTAGTCCCAAAACATCTGGAGGGTCGCGTTTACCTATGCCTGAATTAAGGAAATGTAGACTCCCTATATATTATATCTAGGGTCACAGGAAGACACAGCTAGTGCATTTTTCTAGTATATCAAAGGAAGTTAAGTGATGAGTGTTGCTCAAGGACAGAAAGAAACTTCTCTTCTGCTGCTAAATTCCTTACTGGTAAGGAGAAATTTTCTCCGTGTTGTATTGCACAAGTGACTGATCCATTGTGGATGCTCCTGGCTACCTTTGAAATGCAGTCAGGTGACAGTGAGTTAAACTGACTAGACTGATCTGGTATGATGTTAATCTATAGCTGCATTCCTACACACACACTGCACACCTGCTTGGCAGCTGAGTCTATGAAGTCAATAGAATCTATTACTAAGCTTTCCCTGATATGTTACCACAGGAACATATAGGGGTTTTTTTATCTCCTCTAACTGGAATGCAAAAGAACATTGTAAGAATCTCTGTTTTCATTTGCAAACAACCAAGCTTCTGTTTCAAAGGCTGCAACAATAGCCTTGAAACAATAGCAATATCAGACAGAGAAATCTGAGAAACTGGATAGGGGAGAGATACCACAGAATTCCAGTAATGAAGGGGTATGTTTTCAGAGTGCTGCATAGTTCTTTAGCCTCTCCTGAGCACTGCCAGGAGCAAACTTAGCAAATATGCACCCTGGACACAAATTTCAGGGTTGGTTTTTTCCTTGATGCCACATATAAACAATCTGAGTGACACCAGTATAGCCAACAGACAACTGAACTTTTCGTTCTAATTGGTTTTTTATTAAAAATGTTACATGCTCAAGCTACAGATTTTACACTCACAAACATTTTTACAGTTCATTTCTGCTCACCCTTATAAAAATTACAAAGGTTTGCTACCTTTGGCCCAGACTGTTTTTTGTTTTAAAAAAAGACACTGTTGGAGTACATAAATAGAAATTTAAGTATAAATATGGTAACAAAATAAATGGATGTATGTGTTTAATAAATTAATCATAAATATTGTGTTGACAAGGAAGTGCTACATCAGGAAAATAATTATTTACAGAGCCATGCTACTATATACATACAAAACCCTTTGGGAAAGAATGTTATCCCATAGTAAGCTAGTTATTCACTAGAGGAAAATCTAACGGTAGTAAAAACTGTTATTTATTAAAAAAGAATAATCCATGAAATAATACTCACAATTATATTTTTAAAAAATTCCATCATGTTAGTCTATAGAGATTTAAAATAACTGAATTATACCCAAAGCATCTCTTACAAGTCATAGGTGGGATTTATCCATTAGGTCAAGGTGTGGAACCTCAGGCTCAGGATTTGGCCCTCCGTGCCCCTCAGTCTGGCCCTTGCCACTCTCCTTAGGCCACGCCTTCTCTCCCTTGGGCACATCTCTCACAGAACTTGCTTCACCCACTGAGTGTTCTTGTCTGGTTGGAACGTGAGCTATGATGATATCTGCGTGCCTGATCATCACAAATCCTTAGTACTAACCTTCTAATCAAATTCAGCCAGCCAGCAGATAGATGATACAAAAAAGTAACCTATCAGGGTTTGGTTTGGTTTTTTGCTGAAGTAGCATGAAAGTATTTTAGTTACATAAAATTCTGGGTCCAGCAAAATCAGCCTCTGGTTATAGAATTGGTTACCTGTTCAATTGTTTTTACTCACTCCTTATCATACTTTTGCTCTTTCAACCCTGTGTAACCTGAAGGTTGGCATACTCTTTTGGCAACCATCATTCAGGTACTCTGAACTTCAGTTCCCTAAACATTCAAAGGGGCAGCACAGCAAAGAGGATGCTAGTTTCACCCCATTACCATTCTGGTCACTCTCTACAAGTTAGAGGGCAAATGTCCAAAGTGGGGAGCCTCAATTACTGATGGAGAACACCCACTGTGTGCTTGAGAACCCTGGAAAACCACGGTTCTAAAATGTGTGGGGGGGAGGGGAGCCTCCATGAGCTCAGCAGACTCCCCACCAGATTCATGGATGGTAACTGGAATGGTGTCAGGGGGCAAAGCTAGCGTGCATAGTGTTCCTGTATGTTTAGTCAACTCCATAGAAGAAAACCTGTAAAGGCTTGCTAGAACACAACTGCTTGTTAGTTTCATTCATCCCATTCCCTGTGGTTCATGTTACCTCCTGTAGGGATCAAACATCCAAGGACAGAAATTGCATTTCAATAGCTAATCTTCTGAAAACCAGTAGCAGAGGTTTGTGAAAAGATTGTGTGTCAAGTGTTGTCAGTGGTTACTTGTTTAGCTTCCTTTAACTGGCTGCTCCTCTTTAATTTCTGACACTGATGTGTTTAAGGGTCTTGAAGAGAAGGACTTATCCCTCTTTGAATGAATTGCATTTGTTACATCTGTCATCAGGCCTCAGAGGTAAAGGAAGGAAGGAAGCAGTAAAGCAAAATATTCACGATCTTATCCCTCCAAGGATCCTCCAAGGCAGAAGAAATACCTGCACGCTATGCATTTTTGTCATTCCTGAATTAAATGGCATATTTTCTACGAAAGCTTTCTAAATACCGTGCCTGTGTGTCTGTAGTCTTCATGGTATTCGCATTGCCGTTTGACAAGAAAGGGTAGTGCCACATCTGAATGTAGCCATGTGTGAAATATCACTGCTAGAAATAATATCCTGCTGGCAATGCTTTTTCTATGGAGCACAACTCACGTAAGGATCACTTGTTCTCATTTCCCAAAACTAAGGCTTTTCACGGATACATCTGAGGTGATGCCGAAGGGATCCATGCTGTCAGTCTCAAGAGGGGGACTGAAAACTCCGGATTGCAAATGCTGCCCGGTGTCGCCGTAATCTCCAAAATCGGTTGACTCCACTGGCACAGTGTTGATCATTGGCAAGAAATGAGACAGTGGAAAGTCTTTCCCTTTATTTTGTTGCCTTTGCCTGGCAGTACTTAAGGACACCAAGACTCCATATTTCTTGGACTTGTAGATGTTGTAGCCATCTGGGCGCATCTCCTCTTCAAAGGAGCAATCCTCTGTAGAATAACTGAGCTGAGAGGAAGTGAAAAATATTACACATTGGCTTTATACATTTTTTGCACTCTTAAATGGCATATGATGCAACAGTGTTTAGCCAAATCACCTGTTTTATGGAATAATCTATTCAGTGTGCTCTACCTTTGAAGGTGACTCGGAAACTACAACTAATCCAGAATGCGGCAGCTAGACTGGTGACTGGGGGCGGCCGCCGAGACCACATAACATCGGTTTTGAAAGACCTACATTGGCTCCCAGTATGTTTCCGAGCACAATTCAGAGTGTTGGTGTTAACCTTTAAAGCCCTAAATGACCTCGGCCCAGTATACCTGAGAGAGCGTCTCCACCTCCATTGTTCTGCCCGGACACTGAGGTCCAGCGCCGAGGGCCTTCTGGCAGTTCCCTCATTGCGAGAAATGAGGTTACAGGGAACCAGACAGAGGGCCTTCTCAGTAGTGGCGCCCGCCCTGTGGAACGCCCTCCCTTCAGATGTCAAAGAGATAAACAACTACCTAACATTTAGAAGACAACTGAAGGCAGCCCTGTTCAGGGAAGTTTTTAATGTGTGACACTTTAATATATTTTAAATCTTTGTTGGAAGGCGCCCAGAGTGGCTGGGGAAACCCAGCCAGATGGGCGGGGTACAAATAATAAATTATTATTATTATTATTATTAATTGGGAACCATTCTTCCATGGAGCTAATTTTGATACAGACTAGTGCAGGAAGATACAAGGAGTCATTTATAACCCAAACATGGAGAATGGAAGTGCTCCGTGGAGTTATGAAGAGGTGTGGTTATGCTTTTATAGATTTATGCAGTAAGATTCAATTTGATTTCTCTTACTCTGCTAACTGGTCGTAAAGCAAGAACTGTTTTGAAGCCACAGTGGCCCATCACAGCAACCCACAGTTCCTAGCTGAGAAGACTTGTTTTCACTATGTAAATATAGCAAAAGCATTGCAGCTCAATGTACACTTGAACCAAAGTTTACTGGAGTTCATGAGACACCCCAGGCTACCAGAAGCTAAAGGCAAATAACAGGGGAAAGGTTCAGATTGCTGCATAGTTAAAGCAATTGCCATACATGTCTTGATTCTGATGAGGTTGCTGAACAGGCTGCCATTGCCAAGTCCTGACTGGACAACCTAAGTTGTTTTCAACCTATCCCAACTATGCCCTCTCAAGTTTGTGGTGTTAGACTCTAGGGAGATTTCTGTGGAAGGTGTCCTCTCCCATTTACTAGAACCTGATTTGCCTCCTTATATACTAGGGCAATGAAGCAATAGAGTTGACAACTAGAACACAAATGGAGAAAGATCTAACATGGGTTCGCCAAACACAGACTAAACACTATTTTGAGACCGTCTCCATGATGATGGCGACAGCAGAGCACTTTCATCTCCATCACCATTGCATCAGCACAGCACTATCCAGACAACATTTTTCAGGGTGCCCCTTCCAGGATTATGTGAGAGAACCATTGATATTTTAAAATATAAAATTTAAATGATAAGCATTTTTAAACAGTGTGCAATGTGGCCAGCATTTAAAAATTAGACATGAACCATGTTTAGTAAGCTAACTTAATTGAAAAAATCCCTTTGACTTTGACAAAATGAGGATTTGTATTTTATAATGTCACAGAGTAAGAATTGGCCATGTAGTGTTAACATATATTCTGAGTATTGGAACCAAAAATGTGCCAGCTAACACAGAAAGACTAGCCCATAATAGAACAAAAACAAACAAAAAACAAAATAGGATGGTGATTTTAGTCTGTTCCAGGTTCTCTTTGTCACTGCTGTTTTTCTGGTACTATTCTGGTTCGGTCATTAGAGGTGACTGAACTCTCTGTCAACTCAGAAGTATCGCTGATTGCGTCTGGGGCTTCGGTGATAAGAGAAATGGTGTTCGTGCATAAACTCTTTACCTGCCAAGTCCCTATGTCATACTTTCCCCCCTACACGTGTAACATATTATGCTGACAATCATCATTAAGAAGTAGAAGAGGTTAGAGCAGAATTCTCTTAATGACTAAATAGGCTTAAAGTGCAGCACTTCAGATGTGGATTGGGCTATCAGGCATGTGGAAAAACATGTTTTTGGTTTTTGTCTAGATTAGGGAAACATCTTGAGATGTGAGGCTGCTGCCATGCAAGTCACTTAACTGCCTTTAACTGTTGAGTTATTTCATTAATTTTCACACAGTCACAATGCAGAACAAAATTCAGTATGGCAATAACAGTATGACTTGCAAGGCAGTCCTCAGGCATGTTTACACAGAAATGAATTCTAAAGTGTTCAGAGGGGCTTATTTTCAAGTGTAGCCTTACTTTTTGTAATGTGAATGATACAGATCTATACAGAAACTATACAGTAGTACCTCAGTTTTCGAATGTCTCCGTTGACGAACATTCGGTTTTTGAATGCCATGAACCTGGAAGTAAATGCTTCCGTTTTCGAATGCACCTCAGAAGTCGAATGGCTTCCGCTGAGGTACCACTGTATTTTTCTCAATTCTCTCTATTAAATTTGCAGGCCGTCCTTTGCACCTCAGTTTTCAGATGTTTTGGAACTCAAACGGTCTTCCGGAATGGATTACATTTGAAAACTGAGGTACCACTGTAGTTTAAAAAGTAATGTTAATTCTTAACCGAGAGGCAGTTTACAACAGGTTCTGTCACTATTTACAGACAGAAGCTTGAATGAGACCAAACTTAAAACCCATTGTTTATATCTATGTTTACTGTTGAAAAATAATGTTGGGGCATGTAAGATATGCACGTTAGAGAGTTATGAATGGGGATGGAGATACTAGTGTATCCCAAGGTCCCTGTTAAATTTCTATATCATCATCTGCTGGAAGACCACATAAACAGCACTTTGAAAGCATGCTAACCTGATTGGACTAGATAGCACTTGTGGTCCCTTCCAACTCTACAATTTGTTGATTAGCTAAGCTCAAGTGAAAATAGCTGCACTGTTCAATATGCATTCACATTTCAATGCACTGATTTCAATAGGGCACAACCATCTATAAGTGTGATTTGAGCTGTTGTGCTGGTAAGCAGTTATATGATTATTGGGCTGGAAAGGGACCTTGGGGTCATCCAATCCAGCCCTCCTCAGTGCAGGATCTGTAACTGCAGGATGCAATGGCAACACCCATGACCAATGACTCTTTCGTCTCTGCTTAATACCCTCCAGTGAAGAAGAGACCACCACTCCCCGAGGCAGCCTGTTTTTGCTGTCTTAACGTCTCAGGCCATTAGGAAGTCTCTCCTAACGTGTAGCAGAAATCTGCTTCCTTGCAATTTCCACCCATTATTTTTAATCCTTCCCTCTTGAGCAACAGAAAACAAGTCTGCTCCATTGTCTGACACCACTTCAGATATTTGAAGAGAGCTCTCATATCTCCCCTTAATAGTCTCTTCTCCAGGCTAAACATACACAGCACTTTCATGCCTTACTCATGGGACTTGATGTCCAGACCCCTCACTATCCTGGTTAGATTACTCTGATTGACCTACTTAAAACTGACTCAACATCAATAAAACCGCAGCAATCCACCTCACAACAAATCTGGTTTCCTACAGAGCAGAGTGCTATATAGTCTTAAATTAGTCTCCTTATGAAGTTAACTAAATAAGAATGACACATATCAGACTTTGAGACCTGATGCTAGATATCTAGGGTGATCTTTCAGCAGCATCTCAGTTCTCAGATATACAAGGGTAGGAAAGAATACATTATCCTCCAAGTAGGTTATGTAGAGGACTCGGGTGGCGCTGTGGGTTAAACCACAGAGCCTAGGACTTGCCGATCGGAAGGTCGGCGGTTCGAATCACCGCGACGGGGTGAACTCTCGTTGCTCGGTCCCTGCTCCTGCCAACCTAGCAGTTCGAAAGCACGTCATGTGCAAGTAGATAAATAGGGACCGCTCTGGCGGGAAGGTAAACGGCGTTTCTATGTGCCGCTCTGGTTCGCCAGAAGCGGCTTAGTCATGCTGGCCACATGACCCGGAAGCTGTCTGTGGACAAACGCCGGCTCCCTCGGCCTATAGAGCAAGATGAGCGCGCAACCCCAGAATCGGTCACGACTGGACCTAATGGTCAGGGTTCCCTTTACCTTTACCTTTCGGTTATGTAGACTTTTCAAACCGAATGGGGATTAGAGCTCTGTGGACCTTAGTGATATAGGCTGCAATTCAAGCCTGTCCTCTCCTGGTGGCGGCACTGAGCAGTCACCCTATCCGCAGCCCTGCTGCACACAGTAGCAGAGGCAGAAGCATTTGGGACAGGAAGATCACTGTGCCAGCTTGAAGTTGCTCATGCAGCAACGTGGCCCAATGCCATCATGCTACAGCGGTGAGACTGGCTTAGGGTTCAATGAATCATGGGGTGGCTCAGCCCTGCTTGAAGGAATCCCCTCCCCCAGTGGCACTCCTGCCCACACGCCTGGTAGAAGGCTGACTTAGACAGGAGAGCTCAGAGGAGGCACATTTACGCCGCTGCCACCCAGCGCAAGAGGGGGTTGGATTGCTCTGGTAATCTGTTATTCTGGGCACATACACACCTGGGAATAAGCCCCATGGGGATTTCCTTCTGAGAAAACATGCCCAGGATTGTTAGAGACATTAAAACGAAAGGTACCACAATTGATCTTTGGAAATCCAGGATTCAGTCCTGCACCCATTTCCCTGTACGCCTCATTGAACTCAGTGGGACTTACTTTGGGCTAGACGTGTGTAGCTTTTGGGGTGCACTCTGTGCTCCACTGAAGGCCATGGCAGGACTGCAACTTCTGTCCTTAGCTCATGCCCTGATCTAAACACGGAACCGCTGTGTATCAGCTGAATGAAAATGGGTTGCGTAGAAGAGCTTAAGAATGCCCCGTTACAAATGTAGCAGAGAGCCTGTAGATCTGGTGGAGGCAAATCAGGCAGCCCCCCGCCCATCTCAGCCAGCCCCCCTTTGCCTGCCTTTGTACTTTGAACTGGTCCAGAGGGCGACCTTGGCTTTCGGCTTCTCCTCCTTAGTCGCTATGTTGCCCTTTTAGGACTTGGCAGGGAAGAGGATGAGGACAAACCTAGAATTAGTTCTACCTGGCATTAGCTCTGCATCTGCCTACCATCAGTCTCCCTGCCTTCCGCCCAACAAGTCTCTGTGGGCATTGCATCAGCTACCACTCTGTAGACCAGATTTTCCCCAACCTGATGCCTCTCCAGATGTTTTGGAATAGCTGTGCTGGCTGGGGCAGGTGGAAGTTGTAGTCCAAAGTGCCTGGAAGTCACCAGGCTGGGGGAAGACAGCTGCAGACACTATAGACAAACTTTTGAGTCCATCACAGATTCCCTCAACGTCAGTTAAGAAAGCAACAAAAGGTGCCGATTTCCTTCACCAATAGCTAGATTTCTACAAAACCACACCTAGATTTCGGGAGCTGGGGGTGGGAAGGAATGCATTTGCTCTTAAAAGGAGCACTCTTTGGTAGATTATCTGCAGAATGACCTGAAGAGCAAGAATATTTTGTGCTAATTTAGTAATTCCATGCAATAAATATTTGGCATATATCCCAGCCCAATTGGAGAAATTTAAGTCCCATAAAATTCACTGGAATTTATAAGTCCTTAACTTTGACCAAATCATGCCAAGCTATTTCACACCAAGATTCAATAATGCCTTTCCTAGCTTTGAACATCGGGAGTCATGTGTTGGTGCAAAAAGTTACACCTTCACATGCATGATCCTAATCAAAAACAGGATAAAAAGAGTAAGAAACTGGAGCTGGAACAAATGTTATGTAAGAAAGATCTCAGGGTATAAACACCTTCCGTAATGTTATGGGTGTGATGTGCTGGTTGTATTTTGACATGGGAAGCCCTGCTCAAATCCCTGTTTAGTCGGGCAGGCTTACTGGGTGGCCTTGGGTACATCGTTATCTCTCAGCCGCACCTACCTTAAGGGTTGCTGTGAGGACAGAATGAGATAAAGATCAACCATCCAGCCTGGAGCCCCTTTAAATAGTTCAGAAAAGAAATCTAAACAAATCGTAAATCTTAGTAGTCAAAATTCTGGAATGCTGCTGGTTCTGCCACTATTCATAGAGAGAAAAAATACACAGAGTACCATAAGTGCAAAGAAGAAGCTATTCCTCCATTTCCTCTTTTGTTCAGTTCAAAGTTATTTGTTATTACCTTAATGGTTATTTTATTACTCTTCCCTTTGCCTGAACCTTACCACTAGCAAGACTGGAGTTCCAAAATTACCTCGTGATTGGATTTTAAAAATTCTTTCTGTTGTCTAATCACAGAGCCCAGAGCGTTGTTAATAATAATAATAATAATAATAATAATAGGCTTCATTTTAAACCCGTTTAAGGTCGTGGCGCGACGTGTTTAGACTGCTTTGTTGTGTGGGAGTAAAATAAATTTGGCCAGGCTGCTATTGTTTTGTCCGGCCCGGCACTGGATACAAATCGCCAGGAGCCGTTGTGGGGGCGCATGCATGCAAAACCCTCCCCCCCCCCGGGGCTCTCGGCATGCCTAGGTCGAGGGGGCCCCCGCCGCAACTTACAAGCCCGCGCAGCCTCCCCTCCGCTTCCATGCAGAGGTAGCGAGAGCTTTCCACGCCCTTGATCGCCACCGTACGAACGGACACGGCTCGGATCTCCAGCAAACCTGCGCAGCGAAACAAAACGCAGCGTTAGTACGCGGTGAGGTGGAGACGGGAAAGTTGGCTCTGCGGGAAACAATCTCTCCCTCTCTAGCGCGCGCAGCTTCGCAGGACCGTCGGTTTTTTAGATCCCTGTCCCAACTGCACTCACCTACACCCCCACATACACGTCAAGGACCCGCACATTGGCATAGCCAGGATTTATTTGGGGGGGGGGCAGGACGCCCACCTGTCACCATCCGCTGTCCGGCTCCGTCTAGCAGATTCGGAATGAAATATCTCAATAGCAATTGTTTTAAATTATTTTCTTTTGTCCCCAAGTGGTCAGAAAAATGTGTCAAAATCTTTCTACATTTAGGTAAGTATTTATTTAGCGGGGTCAACTGCCCCCCCCTCCCCAGCCCATGGCTCAGGAACCGAAGAAGATTGCGCGGCGCTTTGGAGAGCCCGGTTACTTACTATGCAGATTCTGGGCGCTGGCGCCGTCCACTCGGCCGTCGCTGTTGATCCTCAAGAAGTAGCTGAACGAGCTGTGTCTGCCGGCGGTGTAGAGGTGCCTCAATCTTATGGCCTCTCCCCAGCCATAGTTGACATGTGGTCCAGCATCGGTGAGGGGCAGGGACCGGGCGAGCGTGACCAAGCAAAGCCCCACCAGAGCCAGGAGCGCGCCAGCTTTGCGCAAAGTCGGCCACATCTTTCGCCGAGGAGAGGAGTTCCACCGCAGCGCAAACACAGGCAGAGGCGCAAAGGTTCCCGCGCAGAAGAAGACCGAAGTGGCCAAAAAAGACAGGGCGGGGTGGTGGAGAAGCTCAGGGCTTTGGGAGCGACTTGCTTCAGGAGCGATTGCAGGAGAGGCAAAGCCAATCCGCGGCCTTTTATAGGTCTCCTTATCAGCCCAATCGATAAGGCTAATTCCAATATAGACACTGCTCCATCGCAGGACTAGGGCCAATACCCGCCCCGCTGGATCGATAAGGATTACATCACAAGCCCCGGGACACCCCTTCGGGTTGCATTTCTCCGGCGCGCTTTATTTTATTGCCAAAGCAATTCGCTGACCGCTCTTCCAGCGTGACTTTAAAAAACGCGCACGACGAGCAAAGTTTTCGGAAGACTAGCGAGCGTGCTTCCAAAACTAGGATCAGAGGGAGGAGAAATGTGTGCGTGGTGCGCGGGAAGCGAGAAAGAAAACCGTGAAAAGCCGAGTGCACCAGGAGGCGCGAAGAATAGGAAGAGCGAGGAAATCAATGGAGAAATGGAAGTGAGAGGGGAGATCAAAGGCAGCAGAATTCACCCGAGACGTTCCAAATTCTTTCCGGGAGGAGGGTTTGGGTGGGGGGCGTTGACCCTCCCTCCCCCTCAATCTGTTCGCTTTCCCCAAAACATATTCCCACGACCCACTCCTTGCAAAAATGCAAGCAATTTCATATGTGTTGAGAAAGGGTTGCTTTGAATTTCGCCCCTTTTATTGACGAGAACCCCAGCGCTTTTTAAAAAATGCCCCTTCCCCGTGCTGCTAAGGCAACAGCAGATCATCCTTTCGCCATTGGCATCTCTGGAAGTGGCGTGAGCGAGGCTGGCCCGGTCGCTCATTGTATCCCGCCAGAGACCACAGAGCTTGAAAAAAGGCCGGCTGGAGAAAGTCTAAATCTCAAAGGAATTTACTAATGACCCGGAAAATCGCCCACTTAGGGGGCGGGGAGGTTGCCTCGCCTTTGTTCCACAAGGTGGCCAGAAGCGCGTTGGCTGATGCAACGCCTCCCAAGATTGCAAAGCAAGGGAATCCCTGCATAGAGCCTGGCCCCCTCCTCATCTCCGTGCCTCTCCTCAGGGTGAAGGAAAGAGCAAGCAGCACGTATTTGTATAGATGTCTAACCTCCTTCCTTCCTTTTCTTCCTTTCTTTATTGCATTCATATCCCACCTTTCCTCAAAGGACCCCTCTCCTTCTCCCAATTTACAACAACCCTATGTGGTAGGCTAGGCCCAAATAGTGACGGGCCCAAAGTCACTCTCAGTGAGAATCGTGGCTGAGGAGAGACTTGAACTGTGGCCCTCCAGGTCCAACGCTACCCTGCTTTAAAGAAATCTTTTCATTAATATGCTTTTTATTAATATACTGTAAATCATAGCATAACACTGTGGTGTTATCTCTCTGTCTAGTTTATATTGTTATTAATATTATTTTTATGTATAATCCCTCCCTGTGGAATGCCCTCCCACCAGATGTCAAAGAGAAGAACAACTACCAGACTTTTAGAAGACATCTGAAGGCAGCCCTGTTTAGGGAAGCTTTTAATGTTTGATGTATTACAGCATTTTAATATTTTGTTGGAAGCTGCCCAGAGTGGCTGGGGAAGCCCAGCCAGATGGGCGGGGTATAAATAATAAATTATTATTGTTGTTGTTGTATTTATCTTAAAGCATTTCCAAACTGCTTAATAATCTCTAAATAATAATAAATAATCTCTTAATAATCTCTTTAAAAATCTCTAAACTGTATACAAAAAAAACAGCATTAAAGACTTTTTAAAAAAAGTTTCATAAAAACAGAGTTTCAACATAAAAACCAGCAAAACAGTATTCTAAAAATGATAAAACTGGGAATTCAGTAATAAATCAGTTAACAAGTTAGTAGTGTAAACGAAAGCAATCAGAGAGTCTCACGGCACCTTAAAAGATGAACACATTGTTTTCATGGGCTCAAGCCCACTTCATGGGATATAGGTGGAGTGCAATTGTAGTTGGCAGGTAAATTAATAAAGGAGAAAATGGGAAGGTGGGAGCTGGAAGGTAATGAGATGCAATTTTGCAGTCAGTGTGATAATGATCTGACAAAGTGGGTTTGAGTATGTGGAAAGCATATGCCATTATAAATTTGTTAGTCTTGAAGGTACCACAAGAGGTACCACAATTATTTTTTTGCCATTGACTAGCATACTCTGGATGTACAGTGTACCTCGGGTTACAGGCGCTTCAGGTTACAGACACTTCAGGTTACAGACTTCGCTAACCCAAAAATAGTACCTCGGGTTAAGAACTTTGCCTCAGGATGAGAACAGAAATTGCACGATGGCAGCGCGGCAGCAGTGGGAGGCCCCATTAGCTAAGGTGGTACCGGTACCTCAGGTTAAGAACAGTTTCATGTTAAGAATGGACCTCCAGAACGAAATAAGTTCTTAACCCGAGGTACCACAGTATATAGAATGTGTGCCTACAAAAATGCATATGCATATGGTACAAGCATATACAGAGATGTGTGTGTAAAAGTTAGGTAAATGTCTGTTAGGTAAAAGTTACATACTAAACCTCTGGGTGGCACTCCAAGGCCAATAGGCAAGGACTTCTCAGACCATCTTTGGTTAACTTATTCCCAAAGTTCCTAGGCTGGACTGTCAAAACAGAAGTGGAAGCACTGATTAGCTTTGTCTTTTTCCTAGTTAGATTCCCTGCTCTTGGAGCCACACAGTTGTTGGGCTTCCAGGTATCATGGGCCCAACTCCCTTGTCCTGACAAAGGATAGTGCAGGTCCTTTACAAATGATGCACATTCAGGAGACTTTCTTCAAAGCCTCTAATGTCACCTTTCACTCAGTGCTAAAGCTCTTTACCTGGGAGTAAACCCCACGAGGAAGTCCATGGATTTCAGTTGGCCTGCTCTGAGGATGAATTCCTTGGATACAGCTCTCTGTTCACTAATGAGTTCTGTTGATTTCAGTGGGACTTACTTCCCTACAAATATGCTGCAATGACTGTCCTGGTCTTATAGTTTTCCTAAATAAAACTATGCTTGAAACATTGCAGTACTTGACTTTTACATATTTATATGCAAAAATGTCTATATCTCCAACATTAAGAACAGCATAATATCAACATCAGTCTCATAAAATGAGTACAAAATACATGAGTTCCGGGCAATTTTTTGAGCAAATTGTTTTGCTTTTTGCAATGATTGGAAGCCGTCAATAAATGTTTGAAGACGACCTGTAGAGCTACACCCTTACTGTTTTGTTTCTGTTTTTATTATGTATTTTGGTGCTGGTCTTTAAAGCCCTAAATGACGTTGGCCCAGTGTACCTGAAGGAGTGTCTTCACCCCCATCATTCTGCACGGACACTGAGGTCCAGCTCCAAGGATCTTCTTCTGGTTCCCTCACTGTGAGAAGCGAGATTACAGGGAACCAGGCAGAGGGCCTTCTTGGTAGTGGCTCCCTCCCTGTGGAACACCCTCCCTTCAGATGTCAAGGAAATAAACAACTATCTGACTTTTAGAAGACATCTGAAGGCAGCCCTGTATCAGGAGGTTTTTAATGTTTGATACTTTTATTATGTTTTTAGGTAAGTTGTAAGCTGCCCAGAGTGGCTGGGAAAACCCAGCCAGATGGGTGGGGCATAAATAATAAAATTGTTGATGATTATGATGATGGTGATGATGATGCTGTGAACTGGCCTGAGATCTTTGTTGGAAGGATAGTATACAAATTTAATATATAAAATGAAATAATGCACTTGTGTGAGACCATATGCTGCTGAATTCAGTGGGGCTTATTTCTGAGTAAACACTGGGAAGTGTTCTGTACCTCTTACCCTTTAGAGATCCAATTCGTTAATTGTACAAGGGCTGCTTCTTAGTTACATTGCCTTTTACCTGCATGGCCTGCTTGCATAGGAAACAGTGCACATATAAGCACCTGGCGCAGTCACAAACAGTGTTGTGCAAGTTTTGGTTTCATTACTAAGACCAGGTGGATACATTAGAATACTTGTATCGAGATAGAATGCTTTCCTGCATTGGGGATTGAGCCCATTAATTTCCCCAAGAGAATTAATGGATCTGCATTTGAGGGAAATTGCAGATTAAGTGTTCCAAGGGGAGAACCAAGTGCTTAGAGAATGACAATACAGAGATTCTTTAGTTTTATAGGAAGGCTCTGAAATTAGATACATCTATGATGAATGGATTTATTTTGGGAATGGATTTATTTTGACTCAATATATGTTTGGTATTTAGGGACCCATCTGGCAGAGCCATGCTCAAATTCTGCAGCTAACCTTAATTCTTTGTTTGGCCACAAGATGGCACTTTAAGCCATAAGACTTCTCTCCCTCTCTCTGATTCTACAGAAAGCAGTGCCAGTTTTGAAAGTGCCCTGTAAGCTTATTGCGGCTGCCTTCTCAAATACTTGGCTTTATGTTTTGGGTAGCAGAAGCTGTGGACACTATCATTGCCTCTGCTTTAGGCAAGATAAAGTCCATTAAGACAGTTATGTTAGATCTGGTTCATTCACAAAGGGTCTGGTTCTCGGGGCATCGATTTCATTCACAAAAGTTTCCATTAATTGAAGTCAGGGGTGGGGAAGCTGCAGTCCCCCAGATGCTGATGGGCCATTTATTAATTAAAACATATACACCTTTGAGCATAAAAACCCCCTCAAAGTGGACTACAGGTCCCACCATCCCTGTCCAGAAAAAGCTGACCAGTGCAACTTGGGAGTCCCAGATAATGGGAGTTTATTAAAGGTGAAATAATGAATTTAGGCAGGAAGAGACTTAGGCAGGAAGAACCAGCTGCACAAATATAAGATGGGGGATCTGGATTGCCAACAGTACATGTGAAAAGGATCTAAGGGTCTTAGTTGACAACAAGCTTAACATATGTCTACAGTGTGATGCAGCAGCAAAAAAAGCTAATGCTATT